TAACCATGGGTACGAATCCTAAACTATGAACTTATACACATATATGCACATACATATTGTTGTCCATTAAAAATTCCAATACTTCTAATTGTTCTAGCTTCAACAATCCACACGAATAAAAACAACAAAAACATAATAATTGTTCTTGCTTCTACAATCCACACGAATAAAAACAACAAAAACATAATAATTGTTCTTGCTTCTACAATCCACACAAACATAATAATCGTCTACATCTTCATCATCAATAATGGTAGCTAAACTAAATTTCTCAAGCTAAACTAAATTTCTCAAGGGAAATTGACCCTTTGGTTAGCGGGGCGGGTATAACGGGACGGGTACTATCGATTACCATACCCGTACCCTACCCTTTATTTTGAAACCGGGTATTACCCGTACCCGCCCCATAACCCATCAAAGCGGATAATTACCCTCATTGACCAGTTACGGTTGGGTAGGGTACCCATGGTTACGGGTGGGATTGACATCCCTAATCACTGTTGGTGACTGATTGAATCAATTGGACCCACATTTTGCTTCCATGGACGCCCCGCTTGCCCCCAAGTAAAAGCCAGAGTGTAGCGCTCTAGCAGACCCACATTACACAGAGAGAGAGAGAGAGAGAAAGAGAGTTGCGAAGAACGACGACGAGCCAGAAAGAGACGACGCAAAGACGGAAACTTTCCCATTCCCCATACACCTCTCTCTCTCTCTCTCTCTCAAAAGTCGCATTCCCCTCTTCTCTCCCTCCTCACGAACTCACCAGCCTCTTCTGCTTCCTGGGTACTCACTCTGCTGCATAGAACCCACATTCCGCTCCTAATCAATCGACCCCACTCAAAAAATTCTTTGCTTTGGTTGGCAGTTTCATTCTGCTTTGTTCCCCCTTTTCACCACCTTGCACCGTCTGTCTCTCACTCCTCTCGGGGTTCCTTTGGTCGGCTGCTCTCCTTCTTGACAAGTTTGACCATGGCGGCGGGCGCGCGGCGGGCAGTCCTGCTGTGGGTTTTGCTCACATTTCTGGCAATGCTGCTGCTTCTTCCTCTTCCTCCCGTCACTGCTGGTTCGTTTCCGCTGCTCTTACTTTGTATACAGAATCGCCATCTTTTGTGTTTGTGAAATTGCCTCAACCAACTTTCTGCTCTCGAGTTGGTGCCAAATGGGTCCTTTTCTGGGCACTGCATGCCCATTAAGTTGCCTTTGTTGCGGTTTTTTCTTGGTTGCGAATGTTTTATCTGCAATGGATGAAGTGAACAATTAGAGGGGAACATTTCCTTCGTGTTTTACAAGCATGGATAGTTCATATTCTGCACAAACGCTTAACAAAAATGCTCTAATATTACAGGGTTGATTCAAGAGCTCCTCTGGCTTATGATTTTTGGATTAGGTTGTAGAGAAGTTTATTTGTATGATTTGGATTTGGGTATTGTAGTTGGCCTTTGTTGGCCTTGGTTTGAAGTAAGATAATTGCTAATCCCTCTCAAAGGGACCTTTTTTTTTCATACCTGAAGCACATTGTTGATTAGCTATTTGCTTGCTACTTCTGCAGATTGCCCCTTGGATTTAAGCGGTTCAAACTTCACATTGGCAGCCTCATTGTGTTCCAAGAAAGAAGACCGAGGGAAGTGTTGCCGCTACATTAATGCTTTCATTGCAGTATCAGCCTCCCGCTATGCAAATGCAACGGGCAACTTAGGGGTCCCCTCCAATCTATCAGATACATGTGTTGGGTCCATCACTCAGACCATGCAACTGTACGGACTTCCACAAAATGCAACTCTTTTCTGCGGATTTGGTACTAAAATCCCGGTTCACTACGAGTGTATGGAGCGAACTACAGTCGGCGAGATGCTGCAGTCTCCAGAATTTGAGAACGTCGTGCAGAACTGTGAGGTGCCAGTTTCAGGGGAAGCCGATTGCAGGAAATGCTTGAATGCGGACATTGTATACCTTCATCATCTGGTTGGAACGGATGACAATGTCACATTGAGTATCTGCAGGGATGCAGCTTTTGTTGCACTCACAAGCCGAGTTGATGCTGCAACTACTGTTAATTTCGCACGTTGTTTCTTTCAAGTTGACGGTCTTGTATCTCCTCTAGGTATATGCATGTCTTTAATTGCTTATGTTGTCAAGCTCTTGCGGTTGATGTTCATAAATGGCCTTAAGAATTCATTAACCATTTTCATGATTTTTGTATGGATTTCTGTTAGTGTCATCGCCTTCTGGAAACATCACTGAAACTTCTCCTAGTCCTTCATCTGCTGCAAGCCCCGACCAAGCTTTGTTAGGATTACCACAAGATGGCAACCATAATCACCCCTATCACTTGACATTGATTCCTGGAATCGGGATCGGAGTTACACTGTTTGCTTTCGTTGTGTTGATGGTTTTGGTAGTTCTTATTCGGAAAAAGAGCAAGGAGTTAGATGATCCAGACAATCTAGACAAGGCATCTTCTAAAGCTTTTTCTGCTTGGACAACACGAAAATTTCAACAAGGTTTAACTTCTTTACGAGCTTGCTGAATCAAGTTTGTTTCTGGGCATTCTTTTATGGTTAGCATTTCTTATATTCTTTGTTTCTGTTCTTACTTGTGTTTTTGGGGCTTTGTACATGTAGGATCTGCAGCGATGTTTCGAAAATTCAGCTACAAGGAAATAAAGAAGGCAACAGACAACTTTACTACAGTAATAGGAGAAGGAGGATTTGGAGTTGTTTACAAAGCTCAGTTTAGTGATGGGTCAGTGGTGGCAGTGAAGAGGATGAACAAAGTTTCAGAACAGGGAGAAGATGAGTTCTGCAAAGAGATTGAACTTCTTGCTAGATTGCATCACCGTCATCTAGTCGCTCTCAGAGGATTTTGTGCAGAAAAGCATGAGAGGTAGCCATTTATTTCTCCATTTATGTCTGCTAGTGTATGGTTACTGAATCATATCATGCAAGAAGATTGATAAAAAAATATATATCATGCAAGAAGGCCAGCTTTTGTTTGTGGAATCACTATAATCCATCAACTATTATAGCTGAAATATCACATTAGTAAATTCTTTGTGCGTTTTCATCATGATCATAATTTGATATTAAATTTCAGGTTCCTTGTGTATGAATACATGGCAAATGGAAGCCTGAAGGATAATCTGCACTGTATGTACTTTTTTCTTGCTATTTCTGTCCTATTCGGATAGGTTTCTGTCATGCAGCTGAATTGAAAATCTTGATAAGAAAAATCTGTATCTTATAGAGGATTTTCTTAGTTGATGATGGGAAGTTGATGGTTGATTCTGAATCCTTTTATTCCCGAATCTGTGCAGCTCCTGGAAAAGCTCCTCCAAGTTGGCAGACCAGAATCCAAATTGCTATTGATGTGGCTAATGCTTTGGTATTTAGGAAAAACATCCTCACCCTTGGCACCCATTTGCTGATTCAAATAATTTAGAATGCGTCACGTTCTTTTGCCACTGTTCTTAGTCTAAATTCATTGTCAATGCAGGAGTATCTCCACTTTTACTGTGATCCACCTCTTTGCCACAGGGACATCAAGTCCAGCAACATCTTGCTGGATGAAAATTTTGTAGCCAAGGTACAATATCAGTTAACTGAAACTTAGGCTTCTGTGATTTTAGAACAGACAAGAAATGTCTCCTTCTGTGTTGCATATCTCATACTTTCCTGATACTTCCTTTTCCAGGTTGCAGATTTTGGACTTGCACATGCTTCAAAAGATGGTTCAATATGTTTTGAACCTGTAAATACAACTGATATCAGGGGAACTCCAGGTCAGTAATTTTTCCCCAAATACCATATAGAATCATATTTCAATCTTTATCAAGAGGTCTAATAAAATGCAGCAAATTTCCAGGTTACATGGATCCTGAATATGTGGTAACTCAAGAGCTCACTGAGAAAAGTGATGTGTATAGCTACGGAGTGGTTCTTCTGGAGATGGTCACGGGAAGACGAGCAATACAAGACAACAAGAATCTGGTGGAATGGTCTCAAATATTCATGGCCTCAGAATCAAGACTACCCGAATTAGTTGATCCACGTATTAAGGACTCGTTTGACTTTGACCAACTTCAAACTATTGTCAGCACTGTGAGATGGTGCACCCAGAAGGAAGCCACGGCTAGGCCTTCAATCAAGCAGGTGATCCGGCTTCTGTATGAAAGCTCTGACCCCATGCATAGTGGGTTTGTTGAGGCACTGGAAGAAGAAGAATTCGAAGGTAGGGGAAGAACAAATAGTAAAGGGAAAACAAGTAGAAGTGGTGATGTGATTTTCCACAGTGGAGATGCTAGATGTCTGGCCTCTTCATCAAGTACATCAAGATCACATTGTAGCAGAACTTTTCTACTTGAAACTGGCTCTCCACAATCTCCCCCCAACATGTACTCCCTCTGACGATACTTTGTCAACTATAACTCCCATTGACACTTATGTTAAGTCTAGCTTTTTACATAATAGAAAGCTTTCTTGTTGAATGTATGAATCTCCTGAGACATGTCCTCCCTTTAGCGCTACTGATCTTGGTGAAGTCCAAGGAGATGCCATCTTCGCGTATTTATCGTTCTAACTTGAACAAGACATGCTTCCCAGATTTGCAGCAGCTGCTGGCTTGACAAATGACAGGATCCTGGTATGATAAGCAGGCAGAATGGATTGGCTAAGTTCTCTGTCCTTTCTGTTTTCCTGCCAGCAATGGTTTATTCTTTTTCCTTGGAATCATCCTCCAAGAAGGATTAGCTATCAACCGAACATACTTCGAAGGAATCCAGCAGGTGTTTCTTAAGTTTGTAACATCATTTACAAGCCTCAGGTTCCTGTTTTGATACGTGGTAGGCCACTTTTTCTTATTCGCAACTGTAACTCCCAGCTTACAAAATTTCTGATTGCAGAAACACGAGGGCAATTCTCAAAGTGAATACAGAAAACAGAGTGAACTATCAAAATAAAGCTGCAGACAAATGCGGTCATGTTGCGCTTGTGAAATCATAGTCACTATGCAGCTTTTGTTTTGGCAGCAGCTTCGTCTAGAACTGAAAGGCGAGCTCGGACATGGGCAAGATGCTTCTCCCTTGGCTGCAGGCATTCCATAACGAGGTCGTTAGCTTGCAGCTTCGCCAGCCATTCGAACAGAACAGGAAACTTCTCCCGTGTCATCAACTCTGCTTCTTTCACTTCTTGCACCACCCCATAGACATGCATGATGAAGAACGCAGCTATGTCTACGAACCCGATGCTGTCCCCTCCGAAGTAGTCCTTCCCCCTAAGCTCAGCCTCCAGCATCTTGAGCTGCTGAGAGAACAGTTCAATGCCGTCCTCTTGCGCTTTGTCCTTCCCCAAGTACGCAATGGACGCCGTCTTGAAGACCAGAAATCATTACACCGTCACATTTGCAGAACTATACGAGTAGAAAACATTCACAACAAATGGTTACCTTTTCGTCGACAAAATTGGCCCAGAAACGAGCATTGGCTCTGCCATGAGGATGTTTGGGCGGAAGAGGGTTGTGTTTCCAGGTCTCGTCGACGTATTCCATGATGACGAAGGATTCTGCAATGGCATTCCCGTTGTGGAAAAGGACAGGGACCTTCTAGTGAACTGGGTTGGACTGAAGGAGCAGCTCGCTCTTGTTCCATATGTCCTCGTCGATCAGTTGGTACTGCAGGCCTTTGAGTTTGAGAGCTAGTTCGACTCTCTGGCAGAAAGGGCTTGCCCAGAGTCTGAGCAGCTTGATTTCTTCCGCCATTTTTGAGGGTATGCACTGGTTTTTCATTCTTGTTGGACGACATATCTGTATATGTAGATAGATGCAGAAAGTCATCGATGAGTGGATTCCTAACACCTCGAGAATACCTGTCATGGTTGACATCATTTCTATGGATATTATATATCTCGGTCGTTAGTTTATACTATTCGATATTCATTCCTCGGTTGAACTTAGATTCCTACATCTGCTGCTGGAGGGATCCGATCCTGGCAACAAGACAAAACGGATGGGTTAAATTCTCCCCATTTTCTGTCTTCCCCGCCATGGTTAGTTTGTTCTTTTCTTTGGAATCCTACTCCAGTAAGGATTAGCTCCGACTGAGGATACTTCGATGGAATCCAGGCAACATCATTTCCAAGTGCTTGTTTTCAACTCGCTTATCGTTGCGAGATTCATGTTTTGGTCTTTGCAGCTTAGTTTCTGGTTCGATCTAATTGATTGTAGATCATATTCAGTTGATTTCATCGAGGGAATGGGTTTTGGATGATTCACATAGGTCTATCGATGTATAAAGTTGACGACTTTGAGCAGCTCTTCACTCAAATAGCACTTCAAAGAAAAAATGGCTCCAATGGGTTCTTCTGTCATTACTGTCTTCCTTCTCGCTGGCTGCCACGTCACTGTCCACGTTAGAAGATGACCGTCGGACCTACATCATCCACATGGACAATACGAACACGACCACCGTGGTTGTTTCGGAAGGTGGTCACAAATGCAGCTGCTGGTGGGAGCGTTTATCTTGCCGATCTTGTGACACCGAGAGGAATGACGGTAGTGGTGGAACCGGCGAAGATCAGCTTCAGCGCAGTTGCGTTTAACTTGATCGTGGAGGTCGATTTGAGTGGAGTTGGCAGAGTGGATGATGTTGGGATTAAGAGTGATTACATTGGGAATCATGGCTACTTGAGTTGGGTTGAGCTGAATGGAACACATGTCGTCAGGAGTCCGATCGTCTTAGTCATTGCTTCTCCAAGAACTTGAAGTCTTGGATTGGGAATGAAGGCGAAATAAGACCACGTAAATGGTTGCTACTGTCAATAAGAGATCGATGTTGTCATCCAAACTACATGGTTCGATTGGAATTTAGTAATTTACCATCTCCTTTCCTCTGTACAGACAGGTACTGTCAATAAGTAGTATATTGCCAACTTGGTGCACAATATAATAAGCTAGAATGAAGCAATTAACTTGTAAAATGGTTCAACAGAAAGATGGCTGCATGCATCTGGAACTATTCATTTACATGAACTTGGCTACAGAATCTCTATGGCATGGGAAGGAAAACAAAGACAGATGAGACTTGACAATTGAAGACAGACAAACTGATCTCTCAAGTAGTCAAAAAAATATTAGCTGAGACATCATCAAAAGGGCTTCAACATCATCATCATCATCATCATCATCATCATCATCATCACCATCACCAGCAAGAGTATTTGCTCTTACCACAAACTAACAGCAACAAACAACAGAAAGAAATTGCAGATGAAGGGACCAAAAACACCCATCATCATGAAATTTGCTCCGGGGAACATTTCGACTCGTAAATGCTGAGGAGAGCTTAGTAGACTTACAACACACTCGTCGGATACTAACAGTTGCTTTATCTTACAGCATACCCAGTACAGTTTTGCCACTGAAGCTGCAAACCATCATCAGCCAAGGCAATGAAAGATTTCTTTCATCAGCTGAAATATATCAGCAGACCAGAAATCTCTCATTCGTTCAAGAAACCTGTGGAGAAGACATTGATGGTTTCGATTAGCAATTGAATGTGTCAAGGCAATCTTCAGAGGAGTGACAAATAACAAATCAGTAGAGCGTAAGAGAATCAGTAAAGTAGAATGTGCATCCTTCTCAAATTGATGAATGATTCTTGCAGTATGTTCTTAACCCTATAAAATCATTGGAGATTAAGCAATTAGGGCGAAAGAAACCAACTAAACTGGATAATCAATTGCCAACTAATAGCACCTAATTCCTATCAAGTTGGCTACATGATTAACACCCTACAGTAGTTCCGTATGAAGGTATCACCACCCACTGACTATATGATCTTCCCATCAATTGCAGAATAGTAAGGACTAAGCGAAAAATTACATGCAATCAAGTTCAGTGAAGACACATGCATGAACGAACAAAGCGGTAATATTACCCCATCACATATGCAAAATGGAAGGAAAAAAACATACTCTTGAGTCTGGTCCATGTACATGCAGCAAAGTTTGCAAAAGGCCCGAGCAACTCTTCTAGCCACTAATAGCATCCACAAACTTTCTCTTACTCGTGGGATCTTCATGCAAGACAACCACATCCCTAACTTTATCAAAAAGCTCCTCCAGCTGAGTGACACCAAAACATTGGAGGTCCAGCCGTTTCTTGTACCGTTGCTGGTATATAGCCTCAAAACTTCCCAAGAAAATACGACAAGAGTAACTCACCAAAATCTCCTGTAACTCGAACTTGAATTGCTCCAAATAACCATTATCACCTTCTTCACATTGAGATACATGTGTTGTACTAGTCTGGATCACTGTACTTCTCCTCTCCTCAAGTTCTTCAACTCCCACTCCATCATCATCTGAGAACTCATCAGAGGACGCAAACCCATTACCTGCCACTTCCAAACCCTCTTGAGCTCCCTTTCCTTTCCTATCCTTTTTGGAAAGACTTAATGGATTGACAACAATCAAAGGAGGAGCACTTGGACCTGCTTTCCAATTCTGAAGATACACAAATTTCCTTTTCCCTTTCCCATCTATTGAAATCACATCATTCATTCTGCTGAAAAGATTGACAAGCTTGGATGCACCATACTCTGATACATAAAGCGGCCGTCCATACATCTTTTGGTACTCAGATGGAATACGTTGAAGAGGTAAATATCCACTAAAGAGTTCAAGCAACTTTACTAACTGGGTCTTCAAACCATGTACATCCCCAGGTTGAACCCACATTACAGAACTGTATTGATCATCATAAGGAGCAGGGCAAGCCGATGGTACTTCACTCATACCATTTGGAAGACTCTGTGTCCTCATTCCTGTAGGATAATTAGGCACGTTCCCACTGCTGTATTCAGCTAAAGAGTGTGAAACTAAGGATAAATCTCTCGAGTTGTAGTAACTTTGAGAAACCCCTCGATAGACAATTGCCTCCTCCTCATTTTGGTACTCAGGACTCTCATTGATATGACATCCCATGAGACGAAGGTCAACTGGCAGTCCATGAGGGGGCATTAAGGACTTCGAACGGGACATGAATCCCTCTCCACGGCACACACTAGGCCAGTCCCAAACGAATTTACCAGCATTGCACAGTGCTGACGAGACACCAACTCCAGAAGGGATAACAAGGATAATGGTATATCCACGTTGACCTAGAATATGCAGAGCTGGAGCGAAGTCAACGTCCCCTGAGATAAGCATGATGGAGGAAGGTGGTGGATTGTCGAGTGCAAAAAGAAACATGTCGACGAGAATAGCCTTGTCAGCTGCATCTTTCCTACCGTTCGGAACATCTATAAGTTTAACGCCAGTTCTCTGACATCCCTCCCTTAGTCGCCTAGGGAAGGCATTGAAATCTCCATAGGCCGAGAACGTCATAACTGCTCCTTTAATCACAGGGTGCACCTGCAATGCCATCCTGATATTCCCACCTACATCTTCAGGACGGACGTCGCTTGGAACCGGGCAGTTCTCGATGTCCCAAAGGATAGCCACCGGACCATCTGATGCCGTTCGGTTTTGGTGGATCATGTTGGGTTGAACCATGTGTTGGTTCGAATTAGACACTTGCATTCCCCCAAGCTCGGAGGAAACAGCAGGAATCATCGAAGATGATGAACTTATATCAGCCATCAGTTCAATTCTATGTATCCCAAAGAAAAGCCCCCTGCAGTGGATAGATAGTAAGAACCTGCTGAGACTAACTCAAAAAACTAAAATTTGAGACACAGTCCTGCATATTGACTAGCACACACACATCCTAACCAAGAATTATTACTAACCAGTGCTATTCAACAGCAATCAAACCAAATCAGTAAACATCTCATGCCCTTAAGCTCACAGCAATCTCCATTTCGTGAAAACCCCAAAACCAACAAAACAGCACCAGTGTTCAATTTCTAGAACCACCACCCAACTACTCAAAACAGTTTACAAACAGATAAAACTGGGCAGAGCATTCTCAATTAACCATCCTTCAACTGAGAACTTAATCAATCAAAATCATTTGAATGAGGAGCGAGGGAAGTTGAATTGTATCCGGCCATACCTTTTTTGTTTTCAACAGAAACAGATACTCGCCGATCCTGAAGACCACCGATTCAGGGGAATCGCAGAACAAAGGAAGGGACGCAGAAAAGCGAGAGCGACTTTGGAATCAAGAAGGAGAAGAAGAAAGTTCGATTATTTTTTATACCGGGTGCGATGAAAGTTTTCCAGATGACCGGAAGACTGAAACTTTCAGCTACGGCGAAGTGAAAGAAAGAAACAGGAGAAGAGATCAGAAGGAGTAGCTATGGCGGTGAAGATGGGTTGCTATTATCTTATTTAGCCGTTCTGATGTTCTTCATCGTCATCAAGAAAGAGAAGGGCAATGCGATGATAGCTGCTGCTGCCTGCCAGCCAGCGATCGCATTTAGTTGGAATAGGGTGGGCTTTTGCTTCAGCCCAAAGTAAGAAACGCGTTTCTTCCTGGACCTCAAGGCTCAAACCGACCTATTATCTCTTTGGTTCTCTTTTTTCTTACTTCTTTTTTTTGCTTGGAATGCTTCCCCAAAACAGACTCTTCAATCCCAAAAGAAACTTCTCTCCCAAGTAAACAGAGAGATGAGATCTTCGACGATAGAGTTTGAGGGGAACTCAAATCTAAATCAACGGTTATTTATTAAAACGTTGTAGATACAGATGAAAAGAGGATGCACAACATGTCATAAGCTTCCAACCACATCAAGGTGCAGGTAAACCCGTTTGCAACTATTTGCAGAAGCCAGCAATGAGCATATATGTTTCATCAGCTCTATATATGTATGTTCTAGTAGACAACTCAAAGCCAAAACAAAATTCCACCACACACCTGATAGCAAGAACCAGAGAAAAACAAACAAACAACAACAGGAAATCGTCGATCCGAGTTTCTATTATGCTCGACGGAGAAGAGAAAAGAAAGAGGCATTCATGGCTTCAGAACCCTCTCGATTGCAGCAGCATAGAATTCCTTGGGCATGGTACCAACCACAGTCTCTTGCTTTTCTCCATTCTTGAAAAGCAGAACCACAGGCACAGCCTTAATGTCATAGTCCTCAGCAATGTCCGAATCATTGTCCGCATTGAGCACGAAGCACTGGATTCGTCCTTGATACTCCCCAGCAAGCTCATCAATCACACGGTGGACCATTTTACAGGGGCCACACCAACTTGCATGGAACTCAACTAAGACCGGGGTATCGCTTTTCAGAATTGACTTCTCCCAGGAGTCCTTGGTAACAACTGTTGCTGCTGAACATACCGAAAAACATAGTGGTTAAAGAAGCCTGTCTGATTACTAGACTAGATGTTCACTGAAATCTGTGTATGACAACTTTGATTAAATCAACCACAAAGCAAGCAACAGAAAACAACGCTAAAGATAATCAAATCCACAAGATTCTTCTCAGGAAACTCTCATCCAAGGAAGACACCATCTGCTTGAGATTTTGGCTCATCTAATGCTATTCTGGCCATACAGATAGATCCCTTAAGGTACAAGCATGTGCCAAATATTCCTACCAGGCCAGTAACTAAGCATTCAAACTAATCATTGTCATTGAAAACATCTAGTAACCATCCATTGCTTCAGTGGATTGCTCAACTTCCTTGGAAGAGGAGCTTTCTTTTGTATAAGGCTGGCATAGTTCAAATAAAGCATGAAAAGAAGCATTTATAAGTCTCAACAAGCACCAGATTCGGCAAAGGGACAGCGTGAGAGCTCCTCGAATGCACAATCTAATCATTCAATACTCTCAACTTCATACATGAAATGAAAATCAAGCATTCTGAGATTACCATTCAATACTCTCAACTTCATAAATGAAATGAAAATCAAGCATTCTCCAATCTCAGACGGAATGCAGGAGGACTCTGAACTTAGAACTATCGTCTCCAACAGCATATTAGCCTAACAGGATCGGAATATGAGTGTAGAAACAGATAATCAATGATGAAGACTATCATCATATTTGGAGAGGCGAATTATGAATTAAGGTTACAGGAAGATACAAGAGATGTGTTTCCAAACTGCTCTAATCAGAGCCAAAAGAACAGCAGGTACAGATAACAAAAACCAATGCTAACATTCTCGTTCCCTTTCCTTCATTGAAATGAAAGCTCAGCCATTGAATTGCTTTCTGCCAGTCTCTGAATCAAGTGCCTAACGATAATGTGCGAAAGCTCTATTGGCCTCTGCCATTCTATGGGTCTCCTCTCTCTTCCTTATAGCATCACCACTTCCTTTGGCGGCATCGATCAGCTCATTGCTTAGTTTGAACACCATATCCCGACCTTGCCTCTTTCGAGCTGCCACCAACAACCAACGAATCGCAAGCGCTTTGCCCTGAGTCGTGTCTACTTCAACAGGAACCTGTTGAGTGGCACCCCCAACTCGCCTAGATTTCACAGCTACATCAGGAGTAACTCCTTGCACTGCGTCCCTCAACACTGCCAACGGATTCTGCCCCGTCTTTTCCTGAACCCTTCTCAAGGCTCGGTACATGATGAAATAAGCCAGTGACTTCTTCCCATTTTTCAGGACTCGGTTAACGAACATGCTAACTAATCGGTTACGGTAAACTGGGTCGGGTTTTGCCGTTTTCTCTTTCTTGCCACCTTAACAATTGACAAATTTTCCGTCAGAGAAGCAAGCGCACAATTGAATCAAAATCTTAAACCACTCCGACGGGAAGAATCCCACCAATGAAATCATAAATGCTCGTTAAACAGAAACTGGTGTAAGCCCTAAGCATGAATTGACGGACAACTATGGCACGCAATCGGAAATTGAAATGCATCAGATGGGAAAACGGAAGGGACGGAATGGGAAACATTTCAAGGGTTGTGTAGCTAAGATGAGGAAGTTTCTACCTTTGGATCCGCGCATGCAAACGACCTTGAGGGGAGAAGACGACGGGGAGCTGGCTAAACGGAGACCTAATCCTCTGACGTCGGCGGAGAGGTTGAAAGGGAAGGAGATGGCGGAGCTGGAACTGAGCTCCGCCGGACGGAGTGTGGCAGAAGCCGAGAGAGGAGGAGGAGGGCGGAAGCACGCGGAAGTAGAAGCCGCCATTTTCAGAGCGCCGGGGAGAGTTCTTTCGGGGTGAGGAAATGGAGAAGACGCGAGTCAGGAAGTCGGAGAAGAAGATCAGATAAGGAGAGAGAATTAAGAACTGCCAAATTAAAAACAAAAAAAATAAAATAAATTCTTTTTTTATTAATTTTACTGTTTAAAATGGTAAAAAAGTTTAAAAATTAAACACACCCGGTGGGACTCGAACCCACAATCGTTTGATTAGAAGTCAAACGCCTTATCCATTAGGCCACGGGTGCTGGTTGTTCAACTTGTGATGTCTGCATTTAATATTCACAACTGGGTTTGACGGTTCGTAGTAAATTACACAAAGCAAGACTTTCAAACTTGGTGGGAAATGTACACAAAGAAATCTAACCACAATGATCATTTATCAAGGCTTTTCAAGGTAATTGCTAGTTCCAATTCCCTAGTGGTTATAGGTTTAACCATCTGTAGAATGTTCACTCTACATTCTACAACTACATCCTGAACACACCAAACTTGGTATCTTCGGAGGGGCGGTTCGTGGAAGCAGATATACACAGCCCTATAACTTTCCTCGTATCGGCTGGATCGATGATGCCGTCGTCCCAAAGCCTTGCTGTGGAATAGTACGAGCTGCCTTCCCGCTCGTATGCCTCCACCACTTTCCCCTTGAAGCTTTCCTCCTCTTCTGGTGTCCACTGCCTCGTCAAAATTTACTCATCATGAGGTGTGACTGACTCAAATGCTTAATATGCAACCGTATGGAGGGAAGAAACAGTGTTGCCGTTTGTTACCTGGATTCCCTGCTTTTTCTTGTTCGCCTTTTCGATTTGAGACAACACCCCAGCAGCCTAGTAGAAAAAGCAATATAATGTGAGAAGAATAAGAGCTTATCAATCAAGTCGTCAGCTTCCGAAGAAATGACAAAGACTAAGTAAGCACCTGAACACCACCCATGACTGAGATTCTTGCATTTGGCCACAGGAAGAGGAAGTCTGGACTGTATGCACGACCACACATTGCATAGTTCCCAGCACCGAAGCTTCCACCAACCATGATGGTTATCTTTGGCACCTATGTTGAGAAAACATTTAACTGGAGTCAGTGGAGGATGTTTTTGGAATGATGTTATGTTTCTGTTCAGGTTTGTTCATGAACTATGAGACCGTGGCCTGCTAAACTCTGTTTTCAGTTGCCGAAACCATACTCCTGAACATGCTACATAGAGGTGGCAAACAAGAGGAGGAAGTGCTAGCAACCTTTGCACAAGAAACAGCCATAACCATCTTCGCTCCAGATTTTGCTATACCATTCGCCTCGGACCTTGAGCCAACCTACAAAAGGATCATATACCATTACACAACATGTATCGATCTTCATGCTCCAAAAGAAGGCACAAATTTATAGAAATTAACTTACCATGAATCCAGTGATGTTCTGCAGGAAAACTAGAGGAATGTTACGCTGACAACAGAGTTCAATGAAATGGGCCCCTTTTAGAGCAGATTCATTAAACAATATCCCATTGTTTCCAATGATTCCCACAGGTTGTCCAAATATTTTAGCAAAGCCTGTCACCAGGGTCTGCAGAGATGCAACTGAGATTCGTTTACTCACAATATCAAAGTATCAAACAAAGTGAGGTATCGAAGGGTCCTGAGAGGTGCTCACTGTTCCATATAATTTCTTGAACTCATCGAACTCACTTCCATCAACAATTCGAGCAATAACTGATCGAATATCAAAGGCCTGCTTGTGGTCAGCTGGAGCGATAGTTCTCAGTTCCTTTATGTCGTACAATGGCTCTTTATACTCAGAACTTATCTTATGTCCTTCACGTTTGACTCCAGCCATATGCAAGTTCTTGATAATGTTCCTTCCAAGAGCAAGTGCATGCAACTCATCTACAGTTTCAGAAATAGATTCATAGACACATCATCAGATTTGGATTAACATTGTCCTGATGCATCAGAAAGCAATGACAAGGGCAAATTTCTTCCTACCTTGAGCAAAATAGTCTGAAACCCCTGATGTTTTGCAATGTAAAGAAGCACCACCCAAGTCTTCAGCAGATACTGCCTCTCCTGTAGCAGCCTAACATGGAATTCTCCTTCATTTCAACTTCACCATAAAGTATATAAGATGGATCACCATGCATCTAGAAAACAAGAAGTTGCGACTGACCTTGACAAGCGGTGGTCCAGCCAAAAAGATGGTTGCATTTCCCTTGACCATCACACTTTCATCAGCCATAGCAGGAATGTAGGCACCACCAGCAGTACAGGAACCCAATACCAGTGCAATCTGTGGTATGCCTTCAGCAGACATTACAGCTTGATTGAAGAAAATTCTACCGAAGTTATCCTTGTCGGGGAACACCTCAGCCTGCTTTGGAAGAAAAGCACCACCACTGTCGACGAGATAGATGCAAGGCAGTCTGCATCGAGCAGCAATCTCTTGCGCCCTGAGATGTTTCTTCACTGTAATGGGATAGTAAGTTCCCCCCTTGACGGTAGGATCATTCGCTACAAACATACAAAGTCGCCCATGAACAGGACCTATTCCTGTAACTACTCCACCAGAAGGTAGAGATTCATCATATAATTCATGGCCTGCAAGCTTAGGGTGCAAGAGAAATGAGAGATTTCAGGTGACAACATACGAATATTGTCTGAACTTAAGCCATAGCCGTACACCATATGATCCAAAGCATTTGCAACTACTCAAGGTGTTAAGAACTCCCAGTACCTGAGAAAGCTCAAGAAATGAAGAACCAGGATCAAGCAGCCGGTCAATTCTTTCTCTTGGCAGCAGCTTATTCCTGCTTCTGTTCCTCTTGACCGCCGCTTCTCCTCCTCCAGCCAGAACCTCCAAAATGACACGGCAAGTAAAAAAATCCCAGCCCATATTAGAATTCTGAATTTCTCACACTACCCACATCACAAAATTTCCCATTTCTTACCTGATTTATGTTGGATTGGAGCTGGGAAATGAGGGACTCCATGGCCATAGAGTTGTGCGAAAACGCCTCGGAAGTCCTGTCCACTCCATCGGGAAGAACCCCGAAGCTGAAAGCTCTTGTGCAGCGCAGAAGATGAGGCGAGCTCGACTTGGATGCCAAAGAAGCCGAAGCAATTCTTCTCGCCAAACTCCTCAACATTTCTCCTCCTTCTCAAGGTGTCTTGCCGTTTCTAATTCACTTGTACTTCGTTCTTCCGCCTTCCCGATCATATAAACGCCTTTTCTCCGTTTCTTCTTTTTGTTCATCAATCTTCAGTGATCGGATTCACTGTGTTATATATTGCCTATGAATTTACTAATTAGTTGAAAGTAAATATTTTTTTATTTTATTTTTTAAGTTCTGGATAAGATGGACGAGTCCAAAAATTGTCGCGCGCCGTTCCACTTGCTAGAGCCTAGAGACTGGGAAGCAAAGCAATTCGAAAATCCATCAATGGCGTCGTTGTTCTGTACGCTGTCTGCTGCAAAGCTTCCTGATCTCAAGCTCTACTATTCAATGGCTGTCCCAAACGACTTCCCTTCCAATACCCACGACTCCAACCACCAGTAGTTCCTTCTCCGGCGCGCCAATTTCCATCGTCCCTCCCAAAAAGGTGTCTCCTTTGTACTTCCAGTTCAATGATGGAACAGTGTTTGGTCTGATTGAGGGGGAATTGAGGTAGTCTTTTTCTTTTTTACGCAGGTCCTTGTTCCCATTGGATTTGGCACTGAAGAATTGGAAGCTGTGATACTAACCGATGTTTTGCGGCGAGCTGGTGCAGAGGTCACTGTTGCCTCAGTGGAACCACAGCTCGAGATTGAGGCTGCAGCTGGTACTAAGCTAGTTGCTGACAGCTCCATTTGTGCTTGTTCTGCTGAAGTCTTTTGTTGATGTGACTTGAATCGGATTATCAGCCGCAACGCCCCCAGCCCACGGTGTATGGGCTCAATGTTATTTGGGTTCGGGTTCTGGGTCTGGTCTGTAACCGTTTCCTTTGTCAGATTGGATTAGGTTTAGACCCACATGAAGAAGTACTATAAATACTTCTCATACTCCTCTGTAATCTGTAATCTCCTCGATATAGTGAAACTGGCTCTCTCTCGCCCGTGGACGTAGCTAACACACATCGTGTTAGTGAACCACGTAAATCGTGTGTCGTGTTTTCGATTCTCGCTTTCGTATTCTTGCTTTGTCGATTCCGGCGATTTCCCGATCCGTAGCAGCGCGTTTTTAACATCTTTGATCTCGTGGCTCTGCCGGTTAGTCCGTTGTTTTACTTCCAATGATGAACCTAGTTGTTTTGCTTCAACTTTTTGTTCAGGTTGGTGAATTAGGAATCACAGGCATAGTTTGAATTATTATTAATCTAGAACTATAATTGCAGCTGATGGGGTGTTCTAATATAGTCTGTGGTTAGGGAGGAATGCCGGGCTCGGCTAGGTTGAGAGATTGCGATGTTCTGCGCCAAATTACGAGCAAACAGGCTGATGAGGAGAGGTTTATTGGTGCCATACTGCCATATGTGCAGCTCCAGCTGTCACACTTCTTCCATGGGGCCTCCTCAGAAGGAAGCAGGTTTGCTTACTACATATGGATGCAGGATGAACTGTGCTTGTGTGTTTCAATTGCTAATCGTTCGATAGCGTGCAATGCACGATCACATGCCACCCTGCATTCATGGACAAGCTCCCCACCTTCTGGGCTGTTAAATCAGATCTTCAAGTTTCACGACAAGTTACTACGAGCCGCGGGCCTGGAACATCTTTTCAGTTTGCTTTAGCCTTTGTGGATCAGCTGTTTGGGGAGACGGTTGCCAAGGAAGTTGCAGAGATATTGGTAATGACTAAAGATTGTGCATCTGGTAATTTATTTCCCCAAGTTTATGAAGAAACAGGCTGGCAAGTTGAATGAAATTTTGTGTTGCTGTTGTGATAGTTGATGGATACAAGTGATGATGACTGCAGAAAGGAAGAGTTGAACCCAACAGAGTGGTCTTTTGAACATAATGCTCGTGTAATTTCTTGCTCCCCCATTTTGCTTTTCTGAAAAAAAATAACAAATATCTTCTAACCTCTGACTGTCATTACAATCATCACTTGACAGGTGCTACTTCCAGTTGCGAATGGCTCGGAAGAAATTGAAGTAGTTACCATTGTCGACATTTTGAGGCGAGCCAATGTGGAAGTTTTGTTTGCTTCAGTTGAAAAATCTGTGCAAATTTTGGGATCACAAAGCACCAGAATAGTTGCAGACAAGTTCATAGGCGATGCTGCTAGATTTGACTATGATCTTATAGTTCTCCCGGTAAGCATGTTGCAATGGTTTTATCCTGTACTAGGGACCAAGGACTAGACTGGATACAAATCTTCAGAAGTTTCCTTTCTACCAAATTTCAGGGTGGAAGGGCTGGATCAGATCGCCTTCAGAAATCAAAGGTTCTAAAGAAGCTACTGCAGGAACAAGATGAAGGAGGAAGAATTTACGGAGCAGTTTGCTCCTCCCTATCCGTTCTTCATGAACTCTGTGTGCTAAAGGATAAGGAGCCACTGCACATCCAAGAGTTGGTAACAAGCTAATGAACGAGATGGGGAATGACGCCAATATTGTCATTGATGGTAGGCTGATTACCTGCAAGGGTCTTTCTACTATAATGGATTCGCATTAGCTATAGTAACCAAGTTTTTTTGGTCATGGTAGAGCTAGAAGTGTTGCTGAAGGGCTTGTGTTGGAGTACCCTAGAACTTGAAGAGAGAGAGAGAGAGAGAGAGAGAGAGAGAGAGAGATTATGCTAGGCACGTTAAAGTTCAAACCATAATCTCATAATCTCTTGTTACCATATGTGAATAATCCTCCTGATGAAAGGAAACAAACATCTACTCTACAAGTCCAGAACAAAGAATATACAGACAACAGTGGCCGTAGCTTTGCATTGTTTTCAAGTTAATAATATGAATTCACTGTTCCTAAACTCCACGAGGACAGCATAAGCGCCAATGCATATAATTTACAGGGCAAAACTCACATCATCTGCTATCTACAAACAACGATAGCTATCTACCCTATATAGTTTCAGTAAGTATTCATATAAGCATATGCCCAAAGGTCGAAACTTCTCTCAAATGTAGTACTTCTTCGAAAATGTGCTGATCCTACCAAGGCCCTGTCAGTGTTCTCCTCAAGCACAGCCTTTTCCCTCCCCATGGATGATTCATTTTCTCCAAGAACTGCAATCACAGAAAAAGGGTAAATCGCCATTGGCATTCAAGCACCCGTTCTGTTAAACAAAGAAGCTGCCCATCTATACTAATCTCAAGGAAAGGGGGAAGAAGAGCTTCTTACCTGATTCTTCTGCATCTGCATTATTTCAGCCTGCAAAAAACCAGCAGTGTTTTGATCAAGATAAGATGTCACAAAGGCTGAATCCACCAACATCTGACTGTTGCAATTTAAGAATGAACAGTACCTGTTTTATTTCCAGCTCTTCATTCAACTCCTTGAGTTTCGCCACCTCAGCTTCCAGTTCCAGCGTATATGCCTATTCAAATACAATGCAACATCATGCATATGTACATAGTACGCTAAAGGCTTGGGCATTCTACCAAACTTCTAAAAATCTACAAGGTCACTATAACTAAGCACACATTGAAACATATACAGTGTCACAATTGAAGCACACACAAAGCTGAAAGATGGCGCTCACCTGCTTACGAGCTCGAGATCGTGCAGCAGACTCCCTATTCTTAATCATCCTTCTCTGCCTTCTCTCAACAACCTTCTCCAAAGCCGAATTAGGTTTTCTACCCCGAGTAAACACATACGGAACTGGCGATACAGATGAAGTATCGGCATCACTCCTCGAAAGCACATCAGGTGACATCTGGCTAGCAGGAGAAGCTGTTGCAACTGTAACACCTCCAGTTCCTAAACCACCCACACGACCTAAATTGCTATTGTTTATACCCGTCGACAAATCTCCCAAGCCAACAACACCAGAGCTCCTCACCCCTTGACTCGGCAGCTGCGCACCACCATTCACCATGTGCATAGGAGATGCAAATGCCACTGTAGCTGGCTGGGGAAAGAGCGGGGCTGGCTGCTGGTGCTGACTCCTAGGTTGATGATGCAACTGCTGAGCTGGCTGCTGGTGCTGACTCCTAGGTTGATGATGCAACTGCTGAGCTGGCTGCTGCTGATGATGCTGGGTGGGTCTGATTCCTCCAACATTCATCCCCAAGCTCGAGGCTTGATTTGGTTGTTGTTGGAATCCAAGTGCCAAACTGCTGCTGTTGTTATTATTCAGTTGACCTAGTTCGCCAAAGAATCCCACATTGTTATTCTGCCTTCCCATTGGCTTGTTGGTATCCTCTCTAACTACACCTGCTCTCGACAGGAACTCCTCCAGTGTCATCTCTCCTAGTGTTCGTTGCCTCTGAGGTGGATCAGGTGGAGCCACGTCCTTGGCAGCTATTGTATTCTCTTTTATGAAATCTTTCCAAACTTCATCCACAGTTTTCTGGCTTAGTGTCCTAGGCAAAGTCAAGGAACCTTGTCTCTGAAGATTCCCGCCTGAAGCACCAGCTTGCATGCCAGGTTCTTCAGCCGAGCATATGTTCTTGAGCAACTCGTCCATGTTCATTGAACCGAAATCTTTCCCTAAGCTTCCACCCCAGGTGTTCTGAAGCTCATCGAAGGTGAGAGAATATACTGAAGACTGGCGGACCAGCGGAGAGCTGACAACCGGCGGTGGCTTGGCTCCTGTACCGTCACCAAATGAAGTGTTACCAAAGTTACTGAAGTTGAAATGCGATCCCATTTCCCGAAAAGGCCTTCAAGTTACTCCAATGAAGTGTATAGAATGGAATCTCCCAGTCCTTTTTAGCTAGAGACCTTTCAAATTGCAATAACTACAATAAAACATAAGGCAAATCAAAGCGTCAACAATCCATACATATTTAGTAAACCAAACTGAAACTATGAAATTGAACCTTTGAAAAGTCCCTAAACTGAAAAGCTTGACAGATGTGAACTACTGATTGAACTCACAGTCCACAACAAGATGAATCAAAATCCAAGCTTTTCTAGAAATCCTTAACATCTCACAAGATAGTAAGATACACAGGCAATCCTCAACTTGCAAGTATCACCATAGAGAGAAGAAAACAAGATAAAAGAAAGACAAATCAGAAAGCAAGGAGGGAGGGAGGGAAAATATCTAGTCCTACCACTGCCCAGGAACCCTGTTTCAGCAGTAGATCAAAGGACATAGTTTGTCTTGTTGTTTGGCCTCGTCCAATCATACGGTCGAAAACATATAGCACAAATTAGATCATAGAGACTCAAGTAACGACCTTTTTCTATGCTAAACCTTCCTTATGTCTCAGATCCGATAGAAAGAGGGAAGAAGAGCAGAATCAAGATGAACTTATCCAACACCAACCCATTTCCCGGTAGCACAGAAAACTCCCAAAATCTCAAACACCCGTTCAAAATAACGAGCCAACATCTGAGAATTCATGCCAGAATCCATCTCCAGACCCATTTACCCCAACTGGATTCCAATATTCACCAATCCAAAACAGAAAAAGTCGGAAACTTTTTCACAACCCTAAAAGGGGAAACGAAAAGTTTCGACTCGGATCAAACCCTAAGCTCCAAATCTCCCCCCAGAAATCGGGAAAATCAACCCCCACTGCAAGATCAAGAAGCAGCAGGCAAGACCACCATCCCAGACCAGAAACAAAACAAAAAACCCAGAATCGTAATTATTCCTATTAAAAAACTAATAAAAGAAGATGTAAATCACTCAATATCCATTTCCTAAAATAAAATCTTAAATACAGAGAGGACGAAGGAGGTAAACTGGAGCGAAAAGGAGGGGAAAACCAAAGGGAAAAGGTAGAAAAAAACACCGCTTACCTTAATAATAAATACGGGGGAAAATTAATTGGGATATTTTGGTGGCGTGGAAATCGGAATTGAGACGGGGAGAGAAAGGTTAGAGAGAGAGAGAGGTGTCGTTTCTGGTTCAGCAGAGCTCTGGTCTCCGGCGGGAGGAAGGAGAAGGCGACAAGTGGAAGTTGGCAATCGGAGTCGTCCTTTTAAAGCTCCTCCGTCCCTCCCAATTTGGTAATCTCCATTTTCCTAATTTTATTTTCGAGTTTTTTTTTTTTTTGCAGATTATCTCCTTTGGGTATTATTAATTATTTTATTTGGTCCGATCCAGAAATTTGAGACCACGCGGATCGCGCAACGTGGGCCAATCGGATTAGAGTGTTGGGAACTGTGATGTGATGGTGCAGCCAATGGGAGGAGGTCAAGTGGGAGTGATCTCAGCCGTTGGTTTTCCTCCCTTTTTCTCGTTTTCAATATTTGATCCAATAATATGAAAAAAGTGAAAACAGTTATCTTTTGGGATTTTTTTCCCAGCAATGTCGTATCGTATGAATGACAAGTGTATAGTACGGCATGGTATGATATGGTTAGAGCACGATATGAGCAATGGATACGAAATGCATGGTTCCGTCAGACACTAGTTGGAAAACTAGATATGTCGTGTTTGTAGTGGAGAACAAAATAAATCGAATAGTATACAGTGTTTTTATATCTTATGGTATCATAATCTTTCTTCCACCTTTTTTTCTAATGGCAATGAGTAGGGCTGGGAAAACGGTTGCGGTTTCGCGGTTAAACCGATAACCGCACCGAAATCGTGCGGTTATTGGTTAACCGCAAACCGCATATTTTGCCTATTTTGCGGTCGCGGTTGGAGATATGGACTATTTTGCGGTTTGCGGTTTAACCGCAACCGAAACCGCAAATCCATATAACCGCAAGGCTAACCGCGAGATAGCCCCAGCCCATAGTTGACCCTCAGCCCAGCCCAAACTTGACCCCCCAGCCCAGCCCAAAGTAGACCCCCAACCCAGCAGCCCAAACCCGACCCAGCCCCTCCCCCACTTCTCCCTTTTGCCGTCGTTTTGATTTGACGAAACGAAAGTCGAAAATCCATTTCCCTTCGACCCTTCCCATCTTCCCGCGCCGTCGTCAGATGCAGGGGCTTGATGGAAGTGAAAATAGACAAAACAGTAGCTGCTGTGTTTTTTTTTCATGTTAGTTCGCGGTTAGTTTGCTTAATCGCAGTTTCGTATACTGTTTCGGTTGTTGCGGTTTTTACAACCAGAAACCGCGGTTCACCGTTAATCGCGTTCTGCGGTTTTTGGTTAACCGCTAACCGTGAGGGACGCGGTCGCGGTTGGCTAATATGGGTGTTTTGCGGTTGCAGTTAACCGCAAATTGCGGTGCAGTTAACCGCAACCGCACCGTTTCCCCCCCTAGCAATGAGGAATTGAACTCTTGACTCGAGGTAGTTGTGCTATTTCTGATATTTCAAATAGATCGTACGTAAAACCCTATTGTTCGAACTATATAGGGTTTAGTAATGCATAAATACTAGCCGAAGAAACTACAAAGCCCTATTTCAGCCATTGATATGACTAGTAGTCGAACTCGTGGCAATATATGGTAGTCAAAAGAACTCACTTTTAAGGCAAGCAGGCTGAGATAAGAAACGATGGAGTTACATCCACATCAAAATATCAAGAACTGAGAAGGAAAAAAAAAGAACATAACATGATACGCTTCTTTTTGAATCGAGGGTTCCATGCGAGTGAGGCAATGTCTTATTAATTGTATTGAAAATATTGGATACTTAATTAAAAACGTTAATTATTATATTTTTTTTGTGCCAATCACAACTCAAATGAATAGTGTAACTAATCACCTATTAATTAATTATTAATTAAAATTGCTTTATCTATTGCCTCTAAAATAATAACAGAGAAAAAAGATTTGCATACGATTCTACCAACTGACCAAAACATTTTTCTTTTAACGTTATGCTACTTTGCTTTGACCAAAACCGACATGCCAACGACTCCCACAATTATTTCGGCCGTTTAGACTTTCATGCCTCTGGTTTTACATGGTCATGGCCTCATGGGCCAGGGTTTTTGTGCCAGTGTGGTCAGATTTGGGCTTCCGTGGCCTGACTTGGTGTGTGGGCTTTCTCTCTTCGGAGACGACGGACGTAGGCTTTTGAGTCTGTCCAATTCCGCTCTTCCTTTCAAGTTTCATCTGCTTCGAGACCTTTCCCAGTTACTATGAATAATTAGGGGTGGGATTCGGTCGGTAAACGGTAAATTGTTTACCGAATTTATCGGTTTCAGTATACTGAAGTTGGTCAAATCGGTTACCGATTACCGATATTGGTTTGTAACCGGTTTACCGATTACTGAATTACCGGTATTACCGAAATACCGTGAGAAGCGATTTCGGGAGCTTTTTCAGTCGGTTTACCGAATATTTACCGAACCGAATTTCTGGAAGTGGGGTGATGTTGTAATATTTTGATTTTTTTGAGTTTTTTTCATCATTTTTGTAATTAATAATTTATTATTAACTCTTATTTACAATATTTTTTAGTCCTATACTTACTTACATTCATGTATGTAATATTTTATATTTGTGAATAATTATGTATATGTTATATGTTAGTGGAGTAGGGAGGGGGGATTTCGGTATCGGTATTACCGATTTACCATCAGTATTTACCGATACCGTGTCCGGTAAACCGACTCCCCCAACTTCCTGCTCGGCTGCCGATACCGCCGGTAAACGGTTTACCGGTTACCGCCGGTTACCGGTTCGGTAAAACGGTAAACCGTTTACCGGATTACCGTTTACCACCCCTAACTATGATCAGTGATCACCCTCGAAAATATCATCGCACGTTCGACCGCTTGGTTTGGTTTAGTAAATTAGTGTACTAGTCTTTTTTTAGTTTTGTCATTCCCATGCTAATACATGAGATGAGATGTACTTATAAAATTATTATTATTTGGTTTTGTACTCAAATATGAGAGTTCAAAGGTTCAGACTTCGGAGGTATTCAGTTCAATTGTATATAGAAGTTGATTTTTATTTAGGATTTTTATAAGTCGTTCTTTTCACCTCTACAAGCGGGCCCACTTGTGTCCTGGAGGAACTACAACCCCAGTCAATTTGTTGTATAAGATTATAATGTGTTTATCCATATGAGTTATGACCATAAAACATTACCCTCCCCTGCCTAGTGCCTAGATTGAGACCTAGGTTCAATCGTGAGAAAATATTGTCATTTGTTATTTTCAACCTTATTTTCTGACGTCATTCCTTATTTTGACTCAATATAATATGATGTCTTAAGAAGTCAGGAAACCCAAGTCAAAACTTTTCTGCTTTTGGGAAACGACGAACGGTCATTTCTCATCGAACCTCCATAATAAGAAAATTTGGGTAAAAAATAGACATTGCCCTAAGAAAATTTTTGTTGGGTATCTGATTAATTAGCATTGCTTGTACTTGTGATATGAACACAGTCTCCAAACTTCCAAATTTGATCTTCACGCGGGGTTTTGAAACTTTGATGATCCATCATTGCCGACACAATGTGAATGTTCACTTTTTCTCTTGATGATCGATTGATTACTATATGCGTCTACATTTATTTCCCGCTGACTTATTTTCCATGTAATGTATGGAAACTCTAGAAACTTTGAAAGTACTATTGTTTAAGCCTGATCCGTTGAACCAATTAAATTGTAATGAAGTTAAAATCAAACTCGGATCTAGAGCGATTCAAATGAGTTTTAATTAGTATTGTTAGTGGTTGATTGGTTGAATATGTCTACAAAGAGTTACATATAAAAAAAGAATTAAATGAATCTGAAATATCGTCAACCGAAATCAGACAAGATCATTATGTACATTGGTTTCCACAATTCAAATCGATGACTAGATCACGGAATACTACAGAATAAACCTCGGATAAGAGACTACACCAACGACTTCACAAAGCTAAAAATCATTCAACACTTGATTAATTGATACGATCGGAAGCCAAATCGTGCGAATACATGAGATGAGATGTACTTATAAAATTATTATTAATTGATTTTATACTCAAATATGAGAGTTCAAATGTTCAGACTTCAGAATCAGAGGTATTAAGTTCAACAGTATATAGACGTTGATTTTTATTTAGAATTTCTATAAGTCGTTCTTTTCACCTCTAGTAGCGGACCCACTTGTAGTCTAGGAGGAACTACAACCCCAGTTTTTTTTTTTTTTTTTGACAAAGGATTTACTTGTATTGCTCTTTGAAAGATAGGTTACAAGACAAGCCAACAAAGAAGTCCAGAAAAGATCAAGGACAGACATCCTTAAGCACACGATTGAACAATCTGTGTTTAAGAAATACAACAATGGAAGGACAAAACACAGAAAAGATCAACCCAAAAGATCTGCAACACTTGAATCAGATCCAGAAAACACCGAAACCTCTCTTGCAATCAAACCAATCAAAGAGCACCAAGCACAATCAGCTCGTTCGATCCGATCGAATCCATGACAATTGAACACAACGCCATATGCCGCCTCCTGGGAGTCGCTGGAAGACGCTCAACACAGTGAATCTCTGGTGAGGGATTACATGGCGGTGGAAATGGAAGAGGATCGAAATGCTCCGAGCTGAAAAAGCAGAGGGAGACGAGGCACCAAGAACTTGATCAAGGGAGAAGAAGAGCTCAAACCCCAAAATCCAAGAGCTGAAAACCGCAGTTAGAAGGGCCAGACACCGCCTTCCTTCCACCAACGTCGACCAAGAGGCAGAGAACTACCACTAGGGGAAACGGAGGGGAAAACGCAGAATCGATTCACCATGCATGTTGATGAACCCACCATCTAGAGAGGAGACCCCTAGATGCAAAACCCAACCCAAAGGAGAGCAAATCCGGAAAAGGAACCCAAGAACAGGGCAAGGAAAGGCCATAAAGGCAGGAGAAGCTAAAAAGCTGGAAAATCCGATTGAAAAATGCCAAACCAGAATCAAAGCAGCAAGAAAAGACTGAAAGGAGAAGGAAAGGGCATTGGGCTACCGCCAGTCACCAAGAGGTGCCGGCGGCAACCCCTGGAAAATCTCACAGAGGCGCTGGAGATATAGAGAAGGCAGAGCACGATTTTGAAAAAAAGTAAGAGACAACCCCAGTCAATTTGTTGTATAAGATTATAATGTGTTTATCCATATGACCATAAAACATTACCCTCCCCTGCCTAGTGCCTAGATTGAGACCTAGGTTCAATCGTGAGAAAATATTGTCATTTGTTATTTTCAACCTTATTTTCTGACATCATTCCTTATTTTGACACAGTATAATCTGATGTCTTAAGAAGTCAAGAAACCCAAGTCAAAACTTTTCTGCTTTTGGGAAACGACGAACGGTCATGTCTCATCAAACCTCCCTAATAAGAAATTTTTTGTTGGGTATCTGATTAATTAGCATTGCGTGTACTTGTGATATGAACACAGTCTCCAAACTTCCAAATTTGATCTTGACGCGGGGTTTTGAAATTTTGATTATCCATCATCGGCGACACAGTGTGAATGTTAACATTTTTCTCTTGCTGATCGATTGATTATTATATGCGTCTACATTTATTTCCCGCTGACTTATTTCCATGTAATGTATGGAAACTCTAGAAACTTTGAGCGTACTATTGTTTAAGCCGGGCCCGTTGAACCAATTAAACTGTAATGAAGTTAAAATCAAACTCGGATCTAGGGCGATTCAAATGAGTTTTAATTACTATTATAAGATGTTGTTTGGTTGAATATGCCTACAAAGAGTTACATATAATAAAAATAATTAATTGAATCTGAGATATCATCAACCGAAATCAGACCAGATCATTATGTACATCGGTTTCCACACTTCAAATCGATGACTAGATCGCCGAAAATACTACCGAGTAAACCTCGGATAGGAGACTACAACGACGACTTCACAAAACTAAAAATCATTCATCACTTGATTAATCGATACGATCGGAAGCCAAATCGTGCGAACTCTCCTGTAGTCAATAGAAAGTTGAATTTTTTTTTTGGTAGAAAGGTTTAATAATTACTTATTTACTTACCTAACACCTTTTTTCAAAAGTCATTAATTAATGACCAAAAAATAGTTTGACCACAGTGTGGAATTTGTTGGACTAGTTTGGGCCCAGGAGTGAAAAAAAACGAATATTCATTCCCCCGTGTAACGCCGCCAGAATCTTCCGCTCTATATATACAACCAGCAAAAACCCCTCGCAGCCCTACACAAAAAAAAAAAACCCAGCGCCGCCCGCCTGGGTCCCAACAATCGCACGCGCCGCCTCCGCAGCGGAGTGTAAATGGCAGAATTCAAAATCACGCAGCCGGAACTTGCGGCGCCGTCGCATGGGCAGCGGCAGCGGCCGCACCTGCGGAAGATCCTCTCCTGGTCGCCGGAGACGGGGAGGGAGGAGGTGTGGCGGCGGCGCAAGGGGAACCACAACCAGAAATCGGCGAGCCGCAGCCGCCTCGGCCGGAGCGTGACGGACGAGGATCTCGACGAGCTGAAGGCGTGCATCGAGCTCGGGTTCGGGTTCGAGCCGGACTCGCCGGATCTGGACCCCAGGCTCTCCGACGCGCTCCCGGCGCTCGGATTCTACTGCGCCGTCAACAGGCAGTACAACGAGATCATCCTGTCGCGGACTTCCTCCGACTCGTCCATCTCGTCGGACGGCAGCGCGTCCGTCGTCGTCGATCCTGGTGAGTATTGCCCGGCCCGCAGTTTTTTATTCGAATTTTAGGGTTTTGTTTCTGAAGAATATCCTTACTCGCGTGGACGTCACATAAATAAAGTCGTGCACAGTCAAACTAACTCAATGTTATTCGTGTGACACAATCAATTTTAAGACGATCAGGGTACACGGACGGTATAGTTGTGCTATTCGGGAATTGAATTTGGGACCTTGAGTTGCAGACACGAACGATGTTACTGATCGGATGCTAACATCGTTTGAATTATTTTTGAAAATTGAATTGAGATTCGGAAGAATTTAAATTGAGTTTTTTTTTTTGGGTCGGATCAGGTGAGGATGCAGAGACGGTGAAGACGAGATTGAGGCAATGGGCTCGGGTTGTTGCGTGTTCGGTGAAGCAATTAGCGGGGAGCCAGCAAATTAACAAAACTGATTGAGAAATTTGTTGTATAATTTTCTCTCTTAATTGTTCCTTTTCTTCTGTTTGGATTGCAACCGATGATTGATTGATCATGTAGCTAAATAACCCAAAAAAATAGTTGGGATGGTTAATCAGGAGGCATTAGGGTTTAATTTCTGACCAATCTGATTGCTAATATACAGCGATTGGAGGTTTAAATGTCTAATTATATGCTGGTTTGCCCTTAATTTCAGATTAATGTCAAAAGAGTTTCAATGTTTGATTGCGTATATGAGATCATCTTTATTCTCAGGTCTCTCAATCCCCTTCACGACAACGGTTTGAGTGAGTAGGTTTTGTTATGTACCATCGTTGAACCACGATTTTAAACGCGTAACTATCGTCATAACAAAACTATGCGATCGAGGATGGAATACGACATACCAAAACTAACCCGTAAATGTGGTCCAATGAAAACTCACGCGCACCGTACATGAACAATCATTTATCAAGTTCGTGATACAATCTAATTTTTTTTTAGAATGTCAGTGTTAATTGAAGCTTCTTTATTGCATTGTTTGTAAAACCGAGAGAAAATAAGAAAGGTTTAAGGTTTACTAGGGCTGGCTATTTGGTCCGGGTTTTTTGGTTTTACCCGAAACCGGACCGTATAACTCGGAACGGGACCGGATAGTAAACAATCCAATCCAATCTTTGGGCTTATATTTGAGGTAAAAAACCGTTCGGGACCAGATCGAAAACTGGATAACTAAAGACCAGATAAGAGAGCTCAACACCCAAAACTTAAAGGATAATTTGCATAAACGGTCACAAACATTTGCACTTAGTACAAAACTTAACCAACTCCCCATCCTTTCAGGCCTTAGGTCACTCAAATCCCCACAAGCTCAATATAAAATCAAGATAGAATTGGGACAGGACCGGGTCAAGACCGGACTGTATCCAATCCAATTTTTAGTCCTTATATTTTCAAAAAAAATCGGACCGGTCCCCAACTTAACCGGACCGTATAGCCATCCCTAGGTTTAAGAGATAATTAAATGCTTGAGAGATATGAATGAACACATCGTTTAAGTGAGTGAGTGCAGAACATAGTTAACTTATAACACATATTTAGGTAGGTTCATGGTCAATAAATTAAACTCAAACACAAACAACTAATCAATGGAACTTCTAAAAAAATAAAATAAATAATCAACGGAATGCTGTCATATCAAATATCTTATAGTCCAACTATAAAATGAGAAATTCACGAAAATTAAGAGCGCAAGAATTTGTAGTTTAATATTGTACCCATCAACGATTTCTTTACACTTTATCGTGTGAAAGTCATCTATGAATTGATCTCTCCAATATCCACCAAATTGTTTTCCTCGCTTCCCACTAAATAACGATACGCGCTTCTTCCAAATCACGTGCCTAAGTGAAACAACCTAATTCCCATTCCAAAAGATTTTTTTTCCCCAGTTGAAAAGGGAACACAAACTTGGAAGAAAGAACAAAATTAACTAGCAAAACCAAAACCCTAGAACATGATGGGAAAAAAATGGGCCAAAAAAAAAAAATTAGTGGTTTTACACCAATTAGATATCAAACTACAAGTGCCAAGAGCGACATGGACGTAGCTCCAAGGAAAAGCGAAGCATATGCTCCCACTTGAACCCTGAAATCCGACTCCAACATCTTCCCGCCCATGAAATCCGTCGCCAGCAAATCCACCAGAGCCATGTAAATCAGAATCCCGGCCGACGCCGAGGTGAACATTCCCTCCACGATCAGGGAAGCCGAGCTGTTCTCCTTGTAGTGATTTGAGATCCCCATCCCGATCCCGATTCCGATTGGTGCTGTGATTGAGAAGAATACCGCCATTAACACCCTCGATTTCATCTTCAGCTTCGCCTGGTTTAAGCAAGTTTAAAGAGAATTTTTGGAAGTTAGGATATGTTCGAGAAAAGGGATTGTTTCTTGTGGATTCAGTCATGGTTAATTTGTCTTGATTGTGGTTTTCATGACAAATTAGTTGGATAGGATGGACCGATGGCACTTTTTTTGTTCCTTTGCCTAGGGGTTATGGTACAAAATCAAAGAGAATACAAAACCAGTGTCTTATCATTTCGGATATGATTGTATCAAGATGGCATTATTCGTATAAGAGGTGGTAAGACTCGGAATTTTATAGGTTTTGGTTGCTCAACAATTTTTTTTACCCCATCGCTTCGCCTGCTGTGTATCTATTCTTCATTCGCTATGTTACCCTTCAGATTCGATATTACTGGGATGATACAAAATTGGTCAAACATCATGCATGAGTTCGGTTAGGGATGACAGAATTACCCAAGATATTGGTATTGTCTAAATCCATTTTACTTAGAGAGGTTGAATCATGTTTTGGTAGTAAAATTTCCAGAGCACTCAAACTTAATTTTTAGTTTGTCTCTAAACTAGACCCATCATATTGGGTATTCAAAAGAAAATAAATACTCGATTATACTATGATTTTCACCTTTTCTTGGCTTCAGAGAAAAAAAAAAAGTGACAACACAATCAATGGAGGTGTGAGTTAGGCTGAAATCGACTAGTGAGATAGTTGAATTTTTTTTATGTGTATAACATCTGAATTTGATTAATTCATACGTGTCCAACCTAAAACTGGATCCAATCCAAACTCAATCGAAAACCATTTAAACTGCATATGATCATATTTCATTTACGTCCGACATAAATTCTCACATGAGTCATATGCCAATTAAGTCAAACGATCAAACGAGTCAACCCATTATCATTCCTCCTCGGAATTCAGTATGCTTACTTGAGAAATGGAGCCTCCCAGCCCGACACCTTCAAACAGTTGATGGAAAGTCAAGGCCGCCATGAGCGGCTTCACCGTCTTAACACTCTTACAGGTCCCCAACGACATCCCAATAATCGTCGAATGAACCACCACTCCCATCTCCAGTATCTGCATATCAATCGCAATTATTAGATTAAGCTACTGATCACATGGTTAGTAAAATACCGTATAAAAAAATATATGAAGCAGTTTGACAATATAAAGTATGAATATGAAAGTTTTAAACTACATTCATAGATACGCATGCATTAAACGGAGTATTTACTAAAACGGTGGGCAGGGTAAGCTTCCAACAATACATAAATGAAAATGAAGTGGAGAAATCTCACCTGCGACACAATCCGCCGCCGGATCATCTCATCATCATCATCATCATCTTTCCGATCACCGCCCGCCGCTTCAATATTCTCATCACCAACATCATCATCGCCTTTCTTCTGATTAAGCTGCTGCTGCCTCTTATAAAACCCCATCGCCAGCGACTCCATCGACAGCGTGGCGATGGCAAACATCATCGCCACGAACCCGGCGAACGGAAACTTCCCCCAGGGGACCTCCGGCAGGCAGTCCGACCCCAGCTTCTCGAACGCGTCGGGGATGATGTGGACCAGCCCGGTCGCCAGAATCACCCCGCCGGCGAACGCCTTCACGATCAGCATCCCTCCGCCGCCACCTCCCGCCGCCCCGCCGTGGCCGCCGTCGTCGGGTGCCACCGCGGTCTCGGACGACGTCGTTTTGGAGCGCTTCAGGAACAGCGGCAGGCTCACCCCGATGGCTCCCGCCGCGAGGATCGAGGCCATCGAGCCGACTTTGTACTTGATCAGCGTTCCTCCTCCTCCGCCGCCTTTCGACGACGACTTGTCGTCGCCGTCGCAGGCGGCGGCGGCGGGCTCCGTCGGGCAGAGGAGGAAGAGGAGGAACAGTAGTGGTAGTAGTGTTGTTGAGGTGTAGTATTGCGCCATGGTTTTTTTTTTTAATGAAAAATTAATTATGGAAATGTGGTTGCGATAATAGAGATGGAATTTCGATATATAGAGATGGAATTTTAGTCGATATATTTTTTTTTTACTGTAGTGGCTGATTCGAGAGAATGGGAGGATCTGTGGGAATGGCTGGCCTAACGATTAAGAGAGGGAATCGAAGTTGGATGGTTTCTTGGATGACATGACATGAATATGCTAATATTATTTGTGTTTGAGCCAAGATACCCTGGTACCACCGGTCGAGATGAAGTCGGCCCGACTCACAATCCGGGCGTCAAGATTCTGCAAAGACAAGCGCCTAGTGGGCTTCGCGGTGTCCGTTAGCACTCCAACGCTCAAGTTAGTGTCAAATCTAGAGAAATAAGTACTCTCCGAAGTTTTAGTGAGAGAAGCCAACCTGTGTAAATGCCACCTACCAAGTACTATCTATACTTAGGGGTGAACAAACACACCCGCAAACCGACCCACCCGTCCAACCCGACCCAACCCACCCGTATTTATCGCTAAAACGAAGGTTTTGGGTTGGGTGAGGGTTTTCTTTTGTACAACCCGCCTCTTTTGGGTTGGATTTGGATTTTGGATTACACAACCCGTAGAACCCGACCCAACCCGTCTTCCATCTATTAGTATGAGTTCGTATAAAAAAATATTTATGTCGTATATAGCCATACTTACGAGAAAGTTAGATATTTCGCCATGTTTTCCTATCATGATCTCCCTAATCTAATGCATTCTTCGACTTAAAGTTTAGACATAAATTGAATATAATTATGATTCACGTAATCCTTTTTCTTGTGAACAATTTTAATAGAATAATATATTATGGATGTGTTTATTTATAACCTTTTTAGTCTATTTCAACAAATATCGTAAAAAAACTAGACATATGTTGAAGTAAATCACATTATATTAAAATTCAAATAACATTTGTGAATTTTGATACCTTTCACCTCGGTTTATTCGTTTGAAATTTTAATTAGGTATAAAATATTTTTATGATGTATAATAATTATATATTTTATATTGGGTTGGGTTTTTACTTAAAAATATCGTCAACCCGACCCAACCCAATTAGAAACAAACCGTAGGGTTTAAATATTTTTGGGTGGGTTTGGGTTTGATAATTCCCAAACCGTAGTGCATGGGTCGGGTAATTAAAATAGTTGAACCCGAACCAACCGACCCATGTACACCCCTACTATACTATACTCGTCGAGGTCCCGACCAAGTTCCTGGGATTCAGCCCCCCCCCCCCCACGTCATCGTCGCATTAAATGCTTAGTACGACCCAACGGTCAGGCGCCTATACGTGGCGGCCTCCGGACCTCCTTTCAGGGGCGCATAGCGGGACCACGTCCTCCAGGTGTCATCTTCTCCGCTCGCTTCTTCGTACAAATTTGTCCCCATGCCCACTTTTGTAGTCATGCGCCCTTTCCCCTCTTGGTGGACCCGATTCTTCTTTTCGGGCCAAACTAATCAGAACTCTTAACGGGATTGGGCCTGAATGGACTTATGCCCTCCTGGGATTTATCTATAATGACCCAACAATTTGATTCATAGTGTATGATTGGATTGGTCGTACACTAAACTTATCATAATACGTCTGTTTAGTTTTGTTATTGGCAATGCAGTCAAAAGCGCGATTCTACCTAAAAGCGGAAAAGGGGTAAAATCGAAAAGCGGCGAATCAAAGCGTAAAAGCGTAAGTTTTTTATGCATCATGTATAATAGTTAAAAATTTGTTAAGTACGGCATGTATTATGTAAAATATGAGTGCATGGATTTTAGACAAGTGAATAAATACATGCAATTCATGTCCAAATTAAAGCAAATTCATAACATCTTAACAATAAGTTCATAAACATTAACCGTAACCCACAAACGAGTAGCATATACATTAGAAATACCACATATACATAATTTAGCAGTAGCATACGTAGGTAAACCAGTAGGTTATACGCCTATTGGAAATTATAAGTAGTTTCCTTCATTTTGCTGGGTTGGTTTAAATTATTGAGAATGTGTGAGTTGTAATTTAGCTAGAAATACCTGCTAGGTTATATGTTCAGGGAGGACTAAGAGTTGAGAAGGGGAAGCATCTACCCACCATTTAGGAGTCATAGGTGAAGTGGCGACGGTGTGGGACAAGATAGAGACAGAAACTAACATGATGTGGCGCCAGCGAGTGGCGACAGGCGACGACGAGTGCGACGGGTGCTGTCGCGTTGGAGCTATCGAGTGCGATGGGCTTGAGCTTCGCTGGAAGGTGGCGACGACGGTTGCGGACTTGCAGCAGCGGCGAATACTTCACTGGAAGGCCGGCTGCGCGGCGGCGCAGAGTGTGCTGGAGTGCTGGAGATGGAGGATTAGGGATTGCGAAAGAGTGGTTTCGCAACCTCAGCCATATCCACCCCCTTTCCCCCATTTTTTTTTGTCTGAAGTGATCAAAATGGGGTCGTTTTTGTTTGACGGAGACAATTTTCTCCTTTGCTTGGAATCGGATAAAAACGGTATGAAACCGCGCTTTTATCCGATTTTAACGATTCTACTAACGCTTTTGACTGATTTTGAGTAAAATACGATTTTATTAGTGATTTGAAACGTTTTCCTACCCTAGAAACGTAAAATCGTACGATTTTACGCTTTAAAGCGCGATTTTGACTGCACTGGTTATTGGGATCATGAATTATTCAGCGTTTATGACGTATGATATTATACACTAATTTTTAATGGGTGAAACCGGTATCCAATTATCTATACTCGAATCATATTTCACTTTAATAAAAAAAAAATTAATGAACGACTGTTCTGATTCGTCGAATTATATCGAAGTACATTAATGAACGAAGATATATATTAATATATTATACGTATGATGTACGCTGCCATTTTCCTATGTTATTATATCGATATTGGATTCTGTGGAATGTTTTGCAAGGAAAAAAACGATTGGAATGTGTTTCTAAATTTAGTGATTTGACTGTATTGGGTGCATGGCTCTAAGCGGCAATATGCTTAACATTGAGAATTTAATTAGCTGCCAACTCTTAATTTTTGATAATGTAACAATTAAGAAAAGACAAGACTTCGTATTCATAGTTACTATTTGTTTGGATGGAAATATTTGAGTAATTTACTTTAATATATAACCAACACATTTTTGGAATCTAAAGAACAAAACTATGACGAAGCAAGCAATGAAGTTTTCTCGGTAAATTTGCAAAATTCTGAATTGAAAAGAGTAGATCTGATTTTTGTTTCAATCAATTTTGGGGGTGTGCATGGAACTTGGTTGGCTGGGAGTGAGTTGGGCCTTGGGCTTAAGAGCATTAGAGTTGGGCGGGCTAGGAGTGGGTTGAGAGCTTGGGGTTTTAGTTGGTTCGGGAGTTTGGGTCGAAAATAGGAGCACGTTTTTTCAGGTACTCTTTTTCGTTCGGTTCACTCATCATATTTTATGAACCATCCAGGCATGTCAACTTTAGGGTAGCCTACTGGTCACTCTAGAGAGTTCGAAATGATGATATCTTCTCAGAGGGCTGAGAGGGAGGGGGTGGAGAGACTCCCAATAAAACAAGTCAACGGATCATATAGTCTGGAGTAAAATCTCAACTAACACTGTTACTCGACAACTAGATTCGGGTTCGTGGTGCCGAGTCGAGACGTGGACATGAGGTGGAGACCGACACTACATGGTTCTGTAACATTCAAATTATATGGTTCGTTCATACCATCAACCCAAAAGGGAGCGGTTGGAGGAACGGTGCGAGATTGACAATGCCACTTATTGGAAGCTGTCACCGCTAATCTGAGAAGTTGTTCCATCACTTACGCGAAAACTCCAAAAGACCATTGGAGGGTCTCCAGTTGGCCTGCCAATTTGGTCATCAGTAGGTATCCGTGCAAAAGCATTCTACAACGACTGTTACCCTCTCCCATGCATTTAGGAAGTGTATCATGTATTTCACTATGTATGATGTTATAGGAACTTCATCGAGCGTCGGAATAATATCATGAGTTAGCAGTGCTAGGCTCCATTTCTGCTAAAAAAATATCTGAAGTGGCTCTCAAGGCTGAAAATATCACCTTTTTTTGTCGAAAAACGGAGTGCTTAAAGGGTGTCCCAACCTTTATTCATTAACGAGACGTGGGGTTTCCACCCCAATTCTGCCAAAGTACAATCAGTAGGATAAAGTACTCGAGGGAACATCAATAACATGGACTTCTACAGGTTAACTATGGCCGATAGAAGCCAAATGTCAGCAACGTAGTTCCCCTCCCTATAAATGTGCTCTATCCGAACCTGCCAAGGGCGATGAAGCCAACGATGAATCTCGGCAATGGTAATGAAATGTGGATGATGCTCAGAAGTTGTCTCGATGAGAGTCTTCGCTATAAGAGAGTCAGCATGGAGAATCACCTTCCTAGCCCCGAGTTCCCAAGCAAGCTTCAGTCCCTGCACAATTCCAGCCAACTCTGCACGGGTAATCGAACCCCCTCCCAGGTTCGCAGTAAAAGCTTTGATGAAGCGGCCATCGCCTCCCCTAAAGATGTCGCCGGCTGCCGTGCTAGAAGGAGAATTAATGACCGAGCCGTCGGTGTTCAGACATATCCAATATAGTGTTGGTGACTGCCAGTGGATCAAACGACTCGCAGGAGGCCCCCTCCTCCGAAAACATTGTTCTCCTTGTCAAAAGAAGCAAGAATCTGCTGCTTTAGCTGTTTTGTGTGGAACTGGATCTGTGTAGGGGACTGTAACTCACCTTGGAACACGTGGCTATTTCGGTTTTCCGTAGAAGCCAACAAGTGCAAGCAAAAAGTGTACTATCCACGATGAGACTTCGTCCTACAATATAATGGAACAACCATTGTCTCAAAGGTTGGTCTAAGAAGGCTGCATCGGGTTCGGTGTCCAGAAGATAGCCCATGTTGCTCTAGCCATTGGGCAGTCTCGCAAGATGTGAATGGTTGTTTCTGGTCCGTCTCCACAGAGTTTGCACGAATTGTCTTGGGTAAGATGGCGTCGTCTTCTCTCTAAGTTCATGAGCAGGGGGTCATGAATTGCAAGCCACAAGAAAGTCCGCGTACGCTGCAGGACTGGTGCTCGCCAGATCGTTCGCCATATCGGGTGTGCGAGGGAAGCTCCTGATTCTGGTCTAGCAACTGGTACGCTGAACGTACCGAGAATTTACCGTCAGCGGTAAGTCTCCAAATCCGCACGTCGTCATCTTGCTCCCTGGGAATGGGATGGAGAAGTACATGCGCAACAATTGAAGGGGGTAAGAAATTACGCAAGTAATCGACATTCCACTCACCATTCAGAATGAAGTCCGCCACTAGAAGATACAAGGCCTCCTGGGAAATCTCTGGGGCAAACACCGATAAGGGTTCTTCATCGTTGAGCCAACAGTCACTCCAGAACCTCGTTGTGCGTCCGTTCCTAACGTTCCAAGCAGACCGTGCTTCGAGCAGGTGCCAAACCCGCAGTACTCCTCGTCAAATGTTTGATATTCTTCCCTGGGTGCGGAGCACGTATTCGCCATCTCGAAGCTTGAAGTACTTTGCTCTAATTAGGCGGACCCAGAGCTCCTCAGGATTGGTTAACATCCGCCAGACAAGCTTCAACAACATATAAGCATCGTTAGTGCGTCTCGAGTCTCGTAGAGCCAGACCTCCCTCCTCTTTCGAGGCGCAAAGAGTAGTCCAGTCCACTAGATGAATTTTCCTTGCTCCCTCCCTACTCCCCCAAACAAACCCCCTAATTTTTTTTTTTGTCGATATAGCCATCCAAAAATATAAATAAATAAATAAATAAATAAAAAACATCCGAAAATATCACGCGGAACATAAATATCACTTTGTTTTCGAGAAGGCTAAGAAAAGGAGAACCAAAAGAAATAATAAAATAATAAAACGACCAAAAATATCACGCGGAACAGAAATATCTGGCCCATCCACAAGAGAAAAGCGAAAAATATCTCGCTGGCATTGGCCCAAGATATTTATTTCTCAAGTCGAAAAAATGACGTGGCACTCCTCCTCTCTCCTGACACGTCCCAAAAAGCGCTGCCATGTGGCCGCTCCTCTCCCTTCTTCTCTTCCCCTCTTCCCTCTCCCAGCAGAAGTAAATCTCTCTGCAACAAAATTTTTTTTTGGACGGAAGATTTCCCCTCTTCCTCGCTGCCGATTGACAAAAAGGGAAACCATCTTGAACTAGAAGCTCCACCGATTTCCACAATCAAGTTGGATCTCTCGCTGTTGCTTGGTTCAAATCTTGAAGGGGAGAGAAAAGACCTAGCCGGAGAAGATTTGTCATGGAGACGGGGGTTCCCGATAGATCCTACACCGGTTCCGGCGGACGCACCGCCGGCGCGAAAGAGATTCCGGTAATTTGTCTTTCGTCGAATCTATTTGAATTAGTCCATCGAGTTCCCTCTTTTTGTTGTTGTAGGTCTCTGCTTGCTTTTGTGTGAATTAGCGGAGAACTTCTCTGCGTGAAAATGGGAATTCCAGCCGTGTATCCGGTTACTTGTGAACATGGTTTGGTTACTGAAATTGTTAGCTTCTGATTGGTCTGATTTGGAACGATTTTGATTTTTTCTTGTTTGGAGTTCGGGGTAGGGATTTAGTTCCTTGAAGTAGTAATGGTGGGTGGGGATGATTTTGTGAATGGCTTACATTTTCTGAATCTGGTTGAAGAAGATTGAATGTTAACCCAAGACCAACGTAGAGAAGAAAGCCAGCGTCTCAGAAACTGTATTTAACCTAATGCTATTCGAAGTTTATGCTGGAAAAATTTAGTCTTTTGCATCCTTTGTATGGTGAGCAACTTAGTTATCTGACATGGTTTCAGCCGAAAATGGGAATGGGATGGGTGCGTGAGACAGTTACCTGGATGAGTCTTTAAGCTGAATCTAAAGTTCTATTCCCCCGATTTTTTTTCCTCCTGTCATGTATTGATGGCTAGCTCAACTCTTGGCATTGATCCATGAGAAAACCTACAATGCTTATTATATTCTTGTTCAATGACAGGGGCCATCTGGAGCCTGGACAAATGAGAAGCACCACTTGTATCTTCATTCATTAGAAGCATCATTCCTCGAGCAATTGCACCAATCCATCAGCTTGCGTGGCTGCTTGCAGAAGGTTGATTGCAGGCCATATTCATCCAGACAAGCCAAAGATTGCAATTCGTTGCAGCAGGTTAGGGTTCTAAAATATATGCCTTCTCTTATATTGAAGAAATGGAACAGTGGCAAGTTATTGAAGTTAGAAGGAAACAATTGTAAACTTCTGCTTCATTTCTTCTTTTACACCCTGTGCCAATGCATTGCTGGTTTTTTTCAGGGTACTTTTCAAAGAGATAGCAAGCAGAAGATCAACTCTGAAGGGGACGAGGACTTGTTCGAGAGCACTTGTGATTCCCATTTTGTAGTAGGAAGTCCTCTGTCGATGCATCATGATATATCCGAGGACTCGGAGCATACAGCATCTAGTGATCTCCACACTGCTTTTGGTAAAGAGGGGAAACGCAAGAGGAATGAGTTGCCTGTTTCCCCTGCATCAACACAAAGTTCGAGTGACACCAGTTTCTTAGGTATTCGATCACATATCTCATTCAAACTCTCACTACGCCAATACCATCATGCACTGTTCATTGTATTGTCTCTGTGTGTGTGTGTGTGTCTCAATTTTATCCATACTCCTTCCATAAATAAACATTTTGCCTAGTTCCATACCTTACGTTTGTATGATTTTTTATGGTTTGACAATGGTGTTAAACATTTGGCATTATGTTTGTTTTGTGCAAGCTTTCTGATTGATGTTCTCCTTTGTTGACAACCGATTGTACAGAGGTTTCAGATCAAAACTTCGCGGATGATGATGCTGTATATAAGTCGAGCCCGGAATCCAGATTCAAGAGGTCAAAGACGGATGGACCAAGCGATCATGTAAATTCGCCGGACTTGTCTGCTTACTCATTACATGTTTATGATATTGACTTGAGGCTCACCTGGCGAGAACCCCCATTTTTGACGTGGCAATTTTGGTACACCTTGTGCAGTTTTCGGCATTTCGCAATACTGAAGACATCACCTGAGCCAAGCTTCCAACTCGAAGAACGATGCATATACATCATGGCTCACTTCCATCAGGGCCTAGAAAGCTGAAGAACTCCGTTCAAAGATTCCTTTATCGGCAATGTCCCGCGAGCTAAGCTCCCTACAATGTCTCTACTATTTTCAGGGTATGGTGATTTTTGCCGCTCACAGAACAACGAGCGCGCGGCAATTCGATAGGCACTCAATTTGCACTTCTTTCCCTTTCAGAGCAGTTTTGTAGGTTCTTTTGTTCAATATATACAGAGAGAAACATGGAAGAAACACACGTAGTAGGCTTCGAAGTTAGGAGCTGGATTTGTGGCACTAATGTATATGCCAATACATTGGGCCATAGGTTCTTCTTCGCTTATACTTCCGTAATGTGTAGCCTGGTTTCTTTGTCACAAAGTCTATGAATATTGGTGAACACAGATTCTTACCATTTTGTAAGAAGCGCCTATGAATAACGATTGAACACAATTCATTTCATATGGATATATTTTGCATTTATATTAGCCCCAAATGCGCTGGTTTTCTTGGTTAGAGAGGGTTATGATTGTGTTACTGATAGTGGTTAGTATTGTGCTAACCATGAGATGTTGTAGAGCGGTCTGTGTTCGGAGTTGTAGTCTAACATCTATAAAAAGAAAAACGACGATAGTAACATCATGCTAATCATGAGTTGTAGCGGTCTGCATACTATAAAAACCGACAACAAAAACAATGACTATAATTACGAGTGCGTCAAAACGATAATATGGTGCTACTAATCCTTATCCTCTCCAATCAAAAGACAAAGTCCAACGTTGACTTCTGCACCCAACTGAAGCATAAGGTGAAGAACTGAGGGACAGAGGAAATCAAAGGAGAGACAGAGACTTGATCAGGAGGAATAGAAAAACCGGAGGGGGAAAAAAAACAACGGAAAAGTTGTCCGTTTCTTTTCCTCCTTCCTTTCCAACTGAAAGTTGCCGTCTTCTTCTTCCTTCCTTCACCAAACCCTCGAAAATAATATTCAGAAAATTCATACCAAATCAAACGCCTATCTAGACACTAATAAAAAAACCTGTCCCCTCCTTCCATGTTAAAACCTCCGGGAAACATTCATCTCGGAGCCCTTAAAGGCCCTTTTCATTTATTGTCCTCCCATGAATTCATCCCTCGACGGTTTCCGCTTCAGAGTCCTTGAAATCTTCGGTTATTAGTTTGCAGAGCTCGATTGCTTTGCTTTTTCCCGTCGCTTTCCTCCCCTCTCCCAATTTTGATCCCTGGGAGAACGAGAAAGAGATTATCAATCCAACTTGAGGGAGGAGGAAAGGAAGAGACTTTATCTATTTTTATCGGGGTATAGATTGATGGGTATGCTGTCAAATCTAAGGAATTCGAGAAATCCAGAAGATGGATTGTTGCTATCATCGGGTTCCTCACCGCCGGCAGCTGGGCAGGCGGCGGCGGCGGGTAAGCGGAAATGGTCAAATTTCCTGCCGGTTTTCATTGCTCTTGTGGTTTTAGCCGAGATCGCCTTTCTGGGTCGTCTCGACATGGCGAAAAATGCTGCTGCCCGGGTCGATTCGTGGGCAGATAGCTTTCTTTATCAGTCGCCGCCTGGTTTGAGGGAGAAGGCTCCGGTGGTTAGAAGAAACGATATGGTTTTGGGGTCGGAAACTTGCGAGGAGTGGTTGGAGAGGGAGGATGCTGTGCCTTACTCGCGGGATTTCGATCAGGTTCCCATCTTGGTCGCCGGTGCTGAGAAGGTTTGTTTTGAATTTTGATTGATTCAATTCGGTTCTCTTGTTGATGCTCCTTTTTGCCCAATTTTGTTCTGTTCATTCGATATTCTCTGTCGTGTCTGTCTAACCGTAAGAAGGAAGATTTACTGAATAGGAAACTTTAGTGTTTCAGTTTTGGATTCATGAATGATTCTGTTGTTACTTGTTGCATTGTTAGAGAATGAGAAATTTGCTTTGGCAGCTGTTAAATTTTGCTACTTTCTGGTCTTATTATCTATGTATCACTTCAGCATCTGAACTGGGACTACATCCATTTTATACACAGGAGAGGAGGAATTGTTCTGTGGGGTGTCAGTTCGGATATGACTCCAACAGAACTCCTGATGCATTATTTGGTACGCTAAATGAGAAGTCGGCAACTGTCAGTGTGCATCGGTCAATGGAATCGGCTCAGTATTATCCAGAGAATGATATTGCTAAGGCACGACGGTGGGTAAGCACAATCTGAGATCAATGCCTTTGTTGCTGTTTTGGAAAATGTTACGCGCCTTTCTGTTAAAGAATAGTTGTGTTTTCGATCTAGTACTTGAGATTTCTGCTGTAAACGTATAATTGCTGAATATCCTTTGAAAGACATAGAGTTTAACAGATTCAGAATGCCCTCGCTGTTTTTTGTAGTTCTGTTTTGCTTCAACTTCTAAGCCAGAAAAATGCTACCAAACTTCTGTTTCTAGTTTTGGTGTTTTGCTTCGTAATTGGACAATGGCATTCTGGATACTTCCTTCTGTTCTTATAGTTGATTTATATTGTGACATTCTTCCCTTTTCTTCTTCTAGTGATTTTGGTTCTTCTGCCTGTTTTCTGCTCTGCCTTTGCTGATCCTATTTATGCATGGGGTTATACCATAAGATATGAGCCTCTTTCTTATCGATAGACAAGTACAGATAGACTTTTCCTTTCACACTCATCGTTCAATTGTAGTGTCGACGTGAGGAAATATTATCAAATAGTATCTTGGATGTGGATGTGATACACCTTGGTTCCGAAGTCTGCATCCTGTTGTAATTCTACTTGTTTGTATATAATACATGACAGAAATCTGTTGCTAGGCACTTGGAGACTTTTATCCCCTTGAGAACTAGTAGTAGTAGTGATGATATTGTGAAACATTGATTGAGCTGAATCCTTTTTCTGCTACTGAAATCAAGTTTGATGATAATAGTAATTTTTGTCAAGATTCAATGATGTATAATTTATATTTTGGTGAATTAAGAGGAAAACTGATTTTGCCTATCTTTTTATTGATACATTATAGAAATGGATACCGGATAGTTATGACTACAAGTCTATCCTCAGATGTGCCGGTGGGATATTTTTCCTGGGCAGAGTATGATATCATGGCACCTCCCGAGCCAAAGACCGAGAAAGCCCTTGCAGCTGCGTTCATTTCAAACTGTGGTGCCCGCAACTTCCGTTTGCAAGTTCTTGATGCCCTTGAAAAATTGAAAATCCCAATAGACTCTTACGGTGCTTGTCACCGGAACCGTGATGGTAGAGGTGAGCACAATAACTTGGTTTCTGACACATTGCATATCTTACGCTGTGAGCTGAATTATGTTCCTGTGTCGTGTAATATGTTGGTAATTTTGAGGTTATCCTTTGATGATGGGACTTGGTACAACTTTAAGTTTGAGAATCAAATACCGTGTTATCTCTCATACTCTTTATCCCAGTGTGTATGACAAAAGCCTCAACAGAATGTTTCTAGGCTGAGATCTCCACGAAAATGATCTTTTGTAGGATGGTTGTTGTCTCGCTTAAACGAGACAAGTTAGTCAGCTTCTTTGGAGTTCAAATGTTAAAGTTAACTCTCTTTAGACTTCAAATCATGATTTGGGTTACTGGCAGAAATGCATTAAGTGGGGAAAAGCTCTCTTGACGACCGAGGGAACAGATTAAGCACATAGAATAGTGTTGATGAAGTGTTGTATGTCTGATAGTGTAAATGTGTTCTTTAATTTATATGTTGTCGCTTCGCGCTTGCATGGCATTTGGATTTATGTATGGTAATTAGTGTTTTAATCATTTCCCCCCCCTTTTTGTAGTGAACAAAGTGGAGGCTCTGAAGCGCTATAAATTTAGCTTAGCTTTTGAGAATTCTAACGAGGAGGATTATGTTACGGAGAAATACTTTCAATCCCTCGTTGCTGGTATTACACTTCAAATCCTTTCTCTGCTTTCTTTTTTCGCACTCATTTACTTCTTTTCTGTGTTGCGTTTTCTATAGAGCTGTATGTTGCTTTCATGTTTATGATTAGGACTGAAAACAAAATGAAACTGAAAATAGTCATTAGCAACAAGCATAACTATCTATATGCTTCCCGGAATTATGAGTGCTAGTCATTTGATCAATATTGCATGTCTGTAGGAACCATCCCGGTGGTTGTTGGTGCTCCAAACATCCAAGATTATGCCCCTGGGCCAGGTTCGGTATTACATATCAAAGCCCTTGAAGATGTTGAGACTGTTGCAAAGACCATGAATGAGCTATCCGAAAACCCTACTGCATACAATCAGTCGTTAAGGTGCTATTTGTTACCATCTGAACTCCATAAAATTGAGTTTCTGTTTTTGGCTTGTGAATGAGCGAGATGCACAATTTTCAGGTGGAAGTTTGAGGGCCCATCTGATTCATTCAAGGCACTGGTCGATATGGCAGCAGTACATTCTTCATGCCGTCTTTGCATTCACCTAGCTACAATGATTCGTGATAAAGAAGAAAGTAGCCCAGGGTTCAAGAGACGCCCCTGCAGATGCACACGAGGGTCCGAGATTGTACATCATGTATATGTTAGAGAACGAGGAAGGTTCAAGATGGAGTCGATTTTCTTAAGGTAACTAACCTCTTCAACTGTGCAGTCAAACGTCCTCATATGGAAACTACAGCTTGATTAGTACCCATGAAGAAGCAAACATCACAAGAATCCTTCCTCATTCTGAAAGTTTGGAGAACATGATCCGAAATCTCAATCGAACCTACTGCAAATTGCTAATACAACTGTCACAACAATGCAGGTCTGGGAACTTAACAGTGGATGCCCTGGAGCACGAGGTGCTGAAGAAGTTCAAGTCCATGAAACACATACCAGTTTGGAGAGACGAAAGACCAGAAAGCATACGAGGAGGAGAAGACGATTACAAAGTCTACAGGCTATACCCTGTAGGGTTGACGCAGAGGCAAGCGCTCTACTCTTTTAAGTTCACCGATATCGACTTACAGAATCACCTGGAAGCAAATCCATGCGCTAAGTTGGAGGCCGTCTTTGTCTAGTTAACAAATGGGACTTTCCTATGGTCTTGAGCTTGAATCCTCAGCTCGGCTCACCCTAAAACTGCAGGCAATATTTTCGGCCGAAAAGTTTAACAGTGGATCTGTTTAACTGTCATCCATGTATGAACATTCTTGTACACAGTACAGAGTTGAATCACTTTTAGTGTAGCTCGGGAAAACAGGATAGGAAACAGAATGATTCTGGGAGAACCCTTGTTTTACTTCACTGATCTGAGAATGCTATTGGTGCATTCTGTTTAGACGAGAGAATCTTGGTCTCATGTTGAGCAATTTTCCCCCCTCCTTTCGGTTCTTTTAAATCTCTGTTGGCTTTTTACCTGCACCATCCCCTGTGGTTTCTGTATGTAAACATTTGTCTTTAGTTGTTAAGATGATAGGATTAACATATGATTGCCACAGATTGGTGTAGTGGTGGTTTATGCTGGGAGGAGTATAACATAAACTACATCTTGGTTTCCAACTTTGAGATCAAAGGTTTATCTATAAGGGTGTGCACCGGATGGATCGGGTGGATTTAAGTATCAAATTGGCCCACCAACTTACTAACAAATTAGTATAACTGTGATTCCTATTTATTCACATTTTTCTTTGAGTTACGTGTCGGTCGTAAGTGAGTGTGATTGGGTTATGAGTTAGGCAAGTTGACTAACATTTATAATAAATTTTTATATTTGTAAGACAATAACTTAAGACATTTCTCGGTCGATTTTTGTGAATACTATTATTCATCCATTTTGAAGGAGTTTTGTTATAGATTTTGACCGATTTTTTTGAATGCTATTATTCACTGATTTTAAAGACTATCCTTAACAGATTTTGGACGTTTTTCAAATACTATTATACATCGATTTTGAATGCTATCTATCACAAATTGTGGCTGAATTTTTTGAATGCTATTAGACTGATTTAGAAGGCTATTCATAACATATTTTGACTAATTTTTGAGTGCTATTATTCACTGATTTTGAAATCCATCACAGATTTGAGCCTGTTTTTTTGAAGGTTATCTATCACAAATTTTGCCTGAATTTTTTAATGCTATCATTCGCCAATTTTGAAGGCTATCCACCACATATTTTGGCTAATTTTTGAATACTATTACTAACCAATTTTGAAGGCAACCCATAATACATTTTGACCAATTTTTTTGAATGATATCATTCATTCATTTTGAAAACTATCTTTCACGTATTTTGGCCAATTTTTTTTAATGCTATTTTTCACTGATTTTGAAGGCTATCCACTACATATTATGACGTAGTTTTTTTTAAAAGATATTATTCACAGATTTTGAAGGTTACAAATTACTAATTCAGCCAAAAGTTGTTCTTCAACGATGATTCAGGCCATTAAGCACAGATTTGATCGTATTTCTTCCGAGATCATTTTTGGCATATTACAAAGGGGTACCATCATAGATTTCGGGCAATTTTTTTCGAAATGTCATTTTCTTTGGATTTTGGATGCTACAAATCACGGATTCAGCCCAAGGTTATTCCCCACCGACAATGAAGTCTATTGATCCTATTATCCACCGATGATTAAGTCTATTAAGAACCGATTTGGGCGAATTTATTTTCGGATGACATATTTTTTAAGTTTTTGGGCGATTTTTTCCGAAATGCCATTTTCCTTAGATTTTGAAGGCTATAGATCTCGGATTCGACCTGAGGCTATTCTTCAACGATGATTAAGTCTATTAAGCACCAATTTAAGTGAATTTCTTCCCCGTCCATTTTGGCAGATTTCAAAGGGGTACCATCAAGATTTTGGACGATTTTTTCGAAATGTCATTTTCTTTCGATTTTGGAGGCTACAAATCATAGATTCAACCCTAGGATATTCTCCACCTATAATGAAGTCTATTGATCCAATTCTCCACTGATGATTAAGTCCATTAAGCACCGATTTGAGTGAATTTATTGTCGGATGACATTTTCGTATTTTTTGAGTGATTTTTTTTCGAAATGCCATTTTTTTGGATTTTGAAGGCTACAGATCACGGATTCAACCCGAGACTATTCTCCACCGATGATTAAGTCCATTAAGCACCAATTTGGCGAATTTATTTTATCATGACATTTTCGTACTTTTTGGGCGATTTTTTTCGAAAGGCCATTTTCCTTGGATTTTGAAAGCTACAAATCACACATTCGGTCTGACGCTATTCTTCAACGATAATTAAGTTCATTAAGCACCGATTTAGGCGAATTTGTTCCATGTCCATTTTTGGCAAGTTGCAAAGGAATATCATCACAGATTTTGGGTGATTTTTCCGAAATGTCATTTTCTTTCAATTTTGGAGACTACATATCACTGATTCAGTCTAAGGCTATTCTCCAACAATAATGATTTTTATTGATCCTATTCTCCACCAATGATTAGGTTAATTAAGCACCAATTTGGGTGAATTTATTTTCGGATGACATTTTTGTGATTTTTTGGGAGATTTTTTTTCGAAAGCCTATTTTCCTTGGTTTTTGAAGGCTACAGATAACGGATTCGACCTTAGGCTATTCTTCAACAATGATTAAGTCCATTAAGCACCGATTTGGGTGAATTTCTTTCGGGTACATTTTTTGCAGATTTCTAAGGAGTACTATCACTGATTTCGGACGATTTTTCCGAAATAACATTTTCTTTCGATTTTGGAGGCTACAGAACATGAATTTTGCCCGAATCTATTGTCCATTGATAATAAAGTCTATTGATTCGATCCTCCACTGATGATGAGTCCATTAAGAACCGATTTGGGAGAATTTATTTTTCGGATGACATTTTCTTAATTTTTTGACCGATTTTTTCGAAAGACCTTTTTCCTTTGATTTCGAAAGCTATAGATCGCGGATTCGGCCTATGACTATTTTTCAACAATGATTAAGTCCATTAAGCACCGATTTGGGCGAGTTTTTTCTAGGTCTATTTTTGGTAAATTCAAAAGGGGTATTATCATAGATTTCAAGCGATTATTCCAAAATGCCTTTTCTTTCGATTTTGGATGATACAAATCACGAATTAAGCCCAAGGTTATTCTCCACCGATAATGAAGTTTATTGATCCTATACTCCATCGATGATTAAGTCCATTAAGTACCAATTTGGCGAATTTATATTCGGATGACATTTTCGTAGTTTTTTGGATGATTTTTTTCGAAAGTCAATTTTCCTTGTATTTTGAAGGCTAAAAATCACGGATTCAGCATGAGGCTATTCTTCAACAATGATATGGTGAAATGATTGTATGATGGTATGACCAGAAGGTCATAATACATGTTGTTATGTGTGTGCTAAACGATATTATGTGATTAGTATATGATATGTGAAATGTCATTTGAGGCGGTCAAGCGAAAAGAATGGCAAGAAAGGTTGCCTTTTCTCAATTATCCGGGATGAGATAAAATGGCCTATGACTCATGCAAGTGAATGTGATATGAAATGGCCCTTGGGTCACACAAGTGATATGTTTAGTTGTGACTAACTAAAAGAATTGCATGGTCACCTAAAGCAAACGTAATGACGCCCTGTCATGCACTCATTATATGTGAAAAGAGGCTTTAAGCCTAAGAGATAAAAGAGATGTACGAGAACTCCTTTTAAGGTGTAATGCCAGGCCTGGCTATGAGTTTATGAGATATGGCACCATGTGCCCCACGAGCTTACGAGTTCATGAGATATTGCACTTTGTGCCCACGAGTTTACTAGATCTGGCACTTTGTGCCTACGAGATTACGAGTTCACGAGATCCCGGGGAGTGCATGACTTGGCAAATTAAAGAATAAAAGCTACTGAATCCAGCTAACTATATGTATGCACTTGTGTGATTGGATATTGATTCATGGGTGATTTTGGATGCAACATGAGTACTTAAATGTCAATCTTAGTATTTGTCATATTTGTGTGATATGTGATTGAGATGGCAATCTTAGTATTTGCCATATTTGATATATAGAAGGTGAACCCCCTACACGCACTACAAGAAACTTCACTTTTTGCGACGAAATTATTCGTCGCAAAAGGTAAAGAATTCGTCGCGAAAAGATATCTGCGACGAAATTGTCCATCGCAAAAAAATTCTAAAAGTCGTCGCCTATAGTGCGTTGCTAAAAGTTCTGCGACGAAATTTCGTGATTCGTCGCAAGAAACCTAGATTCGTCGCTGAAAATATTCGTTTTTGCGACGTGAATTTCGTCGCAAAACTGCTTAATTTGCGACGCAATTCGTCGTCGTCGAAAGTTTGCATTTAGCGACGGATGTGTTCGTCGCAAAATAGAAACTTTTGGCAACGGACCTTTCGTCGTCGCGGATTGTTAACGTTTCTGCGACGAATATAACGTCGTTGATATCTTAACTTTATTAATGAAACTCACATATTGCGACGGAATTTTCCGTCGCTAAAGATAAAATTCGTCGCCAACTCTGGGCTTCTTTTGTGGCGATGTCCCTGCAATTATTTTCTGTTTCAATTTTTGGGGACAAAGACGCTAACCTGTTCTCATAACACATCAGTCTTTTATACAAGATACTAGTAACAGTTGTTCAAATTTGTAGCTTTAACATTGATTTATACCCACCATATAGACTACTACTCCGATCTCGTTCTCACATATAATCATCCATAACATTTGGAATAAGATTAGTAGCTCCCTATTTCTAGAGTTATGCACATCACATTAACAGATTTCACGACATTGTACATGCTGCCGAATCATCGTCATCATTGTCCATGTCAAAAAATCAGCACTAGTTGATAACCTGCACAAAAATTCAATCAACAAGCACCTTAATATGATAACTTTGGCATACCAAAACACAAGTAAAAAAAACAGACTAGAGAGTTTTACCAAAATTCTAAGTTAGCTAAGGATGGTTCCTTTAGCTACTGTGCACCCAAAATACTAATCATCATAAAGCTATCCTGTACAAAAAAACAATGGAAGGCACAAGTTACTATCTTTCAACACGCACATTATATCATTCAAACACATTCGTCATTGAAATGATCCATGTATTTTAAGATGCTTAATTATATTTGAAGGATAAAAGCCTCATCGCATGAGGAGACCTACCCTTGTCCAGTATTGTGTTTAGCAAACTGTCAATTTCTATACTTTTTTTACTACAAACCATGATATAGTTTATTTTACTGCAAACCTTGAAAATTACTATATTCCACTGGAATCCAACCATTTGCCTTCATCATAATGAGTTCAAGTGAGATTTAAAAACTTATCTTACCTGTTCAGCTAAACTTTGCCTCCAGCCTGAAGGCTGGCAACAATCCTCCTAAATTCAGCAAGTTCTTTAAGAGCCTTTGCAAGTTGTTGATTAGACTCGTCTTGTTTTTCATTGAGTTGGGCCACATGCTCCTCAAGATTTGCACACCTATCTTGTAGTTGGCTTTTATCCTTAATAGTTGTTCATAGTTGGCAT